TTTTCTAATCCCCGGAAAGCTTGGGACAATCTTACCACAAGCAGATTGGTGGGCACGCAGTTGGCTATATGGGACCTGTGGAAGCAAGCATATAGGGTGATACCTGACAGCTGGTTTGGATCTTGTGTGCTAGGCTCAATCAGACTATCCTTCCTCTTGCTTCCCCTTAGACAAGGTGAAAAACTGGGAGTCCCCATATATGAAGAAAGATTAAGTAGACAAAAATGGGATGCCTTACAAATTAGCAATTGGAAAGATGACGAATGGCCTCCTGAGCAAATCATCCAGTACTGATGATGCTCAACTGCATCATCAGGTTGCAGGTGGTTGTTGAAATTATACTAATGAAACTGCAAGAGCCCTCAATTTGCTGGCAAAACAAAGCACTAAGATGAGCAATGCCATCTATCAGAACAGCTTGGCTTTAGACTATTTGCTGGCTTCTGAGGGAGGAGTTTGTGGAAAGTTTAACCTAAGCAACTGCTGCTTTCAGATTGATGATGAAGGGAAGGTCATAGAAGAAGTCACAGACAGAACGAGAAAGCTTGCCCATGTGCCCGTCCAGACTTGGAGAGGATGGGATCCCAATGACCTGTTTGGAGGATGGTTCTCTGCCTTAGCCGGATTCAAAACCCTGGTAGGGGCAATGGGCCTAGTCCTGGGAGCTTAATATTGTCCTGCCTGGTTCCCATAGTATTGCAGTCTATCAGAACTATTATGGAGGCCAGAAAGAAAAACGGCTGCACATGTAATGATGCTATGGAAATATAAACCCCTAAATCAAGATGATGCTCTTTAACCCTAGGTGGGTCTGAGCATCAAAGGGGGTTATAATGTAGTAGGGAGGAGGACCAGAAGAGAAACAGACAGGCCTGTGTTCTGATAAAGTAGCAGGGAGGTAGGGATGGCATAGCAGAGAGATAAAACCTATGAAATCCAAACATGGAGAAGGTCAAATAACACTGGGGTGGGGCTGGGGCAGAAAGTCACGTAGCACCCAGGTAAAATAGCCTAAAGGATTGCATGTAACCAAATAGGGCTTAGACCATGCTTTTTGCTTCTGTAACCTGCTTGCAAGGGTATATAAGGTGAGACCCGCTTTGTTCTCGGGACTCAGCCTTTGGACACGAGTCCGCTGAGTCTGTGCCAGAACAATAAAACATTGCTTCCTGCTAAACTGCCTCAGGTTCCCATATCTCCAGCTTGAGATTCCCATAATACTAGAGTTTGAATTCAGGGTCTTGCACTTAACTAGGAAGGTGCTCTGAGCCACATAGCAACACAAGACTCTGTCTTTAAAAAAAAAAAAAGAAAATCTGAAAGAAAAAAGGAATTATGGATATAACACGAATAAATCTGAAGAACACTGTGTTAAGGGATCAGGCAATTTGGCTCACACCTGTAATTCCAGCTACTAGTGAGGTGGAGATAGGGAAGATAATGGTTCAAGGCCTGCCTAGAGAAAAAGGGAGACCCCCATCTCAAAAAGCTAGGTGTGCTGGCAGTGCCTGTGATCCCAGCTATGCCGGAGGTATAGGAGGATCCCTGGTCAGGCTTGCCCCAGCAAAAATGGGAGACTGGTATTCCAAAAATAACTAAAGCAAAAAGGACTGGGGGTGGGCTCAAGTAGTAGAGTCCTTGCCTAGCGAGTGCAAGGCTCTGAATTCAAACACCAATACTGCCAAAAAAAAAAAAAAAAAAAAGTGGAAGAAGCCAGACACAAAAGTCTGCATACTGTATTCTTGCATTTATATGAAAACCTAGAGGCTGGGCATGGTGGTGTATACCTTTATTCCCAGCTGCTCAGGAGACAGGCTGGAGGATGACATGGATACAAGAATTCAAGGCCAGCCTGGGCCACATAGTGATAACCTGTTTCTTAAAAAATAAATCAAATTAGATTCACAATGGAGAAAACCACCCTGCTTGCAGCACATGTCCAAACACCAGACGGATCACAGGGAAAGCACAGTGACCTGTAGCTCTAGCCCAGGGTGCAGGCAGTGGACAGCTGAACCCGGTAGGATGGAGAGGGACAGAGTGAGGAGCAAGCGTGCAGTGAGGCTAAGTCCATTGTGGAGTGACTGAGGGAAGATGACAGATGAGAATGAGTGAGGGGACTGAATTGTGAACTCAAGCTGTAGAGCGCTTGCTTTGCAAGTGTGAAACCCTGAGTTCAAATCCCAGTCCTTCCAAAAAAAACCCTAATAGGCTGGGGGTGTGGCTTGGTGGTGGAGCAATTATCAAGCATGCACAGGTTCTGGGTTCCATCCCCAGCACACACACACACACCCACCCCCACACACACCTTTTCTGTTTCAAGCAAAGAAATGGGTGGTAGTAGGATTAGGCAGGAAACTAATTTATTCACTAACAAGCTTTTGTTAGGTAAACACTGTATGTTAGACGCTGGACAGTGGGCTAGAGATTTTTGAGAAAAACAAGACAGTGTTCACAGGGAGTTCACAGACTAGTAAGAGAGCAAGACACGCAGGTGGAGGTATGAGGAACTAGAGCCCTATTCCATACCCAGGTGCGATTCATGAAAGAGGACGCACGGAAGTCCCACAAGAGGTTCTAGGGAAGAGCTGACTCTTGAGTTGGAGGTAGCAGAAGATGGGAGATTTTAAAGATAGATAGAAAAAAGGCAAAACAGAATTGTATCTTGCTACTTCAACTATGGTCAGCAGCCTGGCTTGTTAGAAATGTGGCATTGCAGGCCCCACTCCCGAGCTTCCAATGCAGCACTTGCATTTTTAAATTTTGTATTTTTGAATTAGCATACATCAGCAATATCAAAGGATTTCATTGTAATAATTCCATACATACATACAGTGTATTTGGAAAAAGTTCACCCCCTGCATTATATTCCTGTTTTTCCAAGTGTTTGGTGGGTTTCATTATGCTGTCTTCACACACATTTATGTAGCTTATTTCCATCCTCTTCACTAGGATCCTAGATGACCTGTGTGCACTGTGAAGTGTTTATACCTCACTCTGCACTTGGCAGCTGTGTGGTCTGGGGCACTTATCACCTAGGGTTGTTCTGATGAAAAGCACCAAGCTTGGCAGGAGGTGCTGAATATGTGCTCATTGAAGTTTTGAAACCTAAGCTGTCCTGCCCCATGGACCTGTCACAGATCCAGGGTGCTCCTCCAACCACAGTAAGGCTCTTCCTGTTGCTCCTGGTCCTGGTGGTGCATGGTCCTGTGCATGGAAGGCCTGGTCCAAGCCCAGGCAGCAGTTCCAGATCTCTCTAGCAAGTTCAAGAACCTCTCGGATAATCTGAAGGAGTTTGGAAACACCCTGGTGGATAAGACTCCAACAGCCATTGACCACACAAACACACCAAAACTTTTACCAAGACTGGAATTGTTTTCAGACATTCGGAAGAAAGCAAAGAAGTTCAAAGACACCTTTTCCTGAGCCCCTGGAGGACTGATAGAGCAAGGACACCTCCATGAGGCCCCAGGTCCCTCCCACCCCACGTGAATAAAAATACTATAGAGAAAAGAAAGTTTTGAAGGTCTCTAATCAAGAGAATTTTAAACTACCTCCCAAAAGTCTTTGAGACCTGGGGAGGGTCAGATCCTGTCATAGAAATGCAAATCCTTTTACACTGAATAGTCTTTCCCACACCCTCCCCAAATTAACTGCTAGAGAAAACAGGAGGAAACTGGAACCTTCCAGCATTTGCTAATGGTCAGCCCCTTGGGTTATCAACTAGTGACCTGTGATTCCATTCTTGTATATAAAACTCTAAGGGCAATCTCATGGGTACCAACAGGGATCACTACAATACTTCTTGCAAGGGCTGGAGGCGTGACTCAAGCGGTAGAGTGCCTGCCTAGCAAGCGTGAGGCGGAGTTCAAACCCAAGTAGCGCGCACACACGCACACGCACACGCACACGCACACGCACACACGCAAACTGTTTGCAATAGCCACATCTTGGGGTTAAAGAACTGGCTTGGTTACAAGTGACAGAAATCCTATAGTGGTGATGTAAACAAGACAAAGTTCCCTCTTTTGTGTAAAAGACCACAGGTCAGTGCATGGAGGCTGAGACAAGCTCTTTGTCTCCTTGTCCTCCCTGTGCCTACAATTCTGAAGGTCACCTAGAGTCAGGACTGCTCCACTTTCTGTCAGCAGGCAGGAAGCAAGTGAAGAAGACAGGCACACACTACCCTGTGGAAACTTCTTGGACATGGCACCCCTCTTCCACTTGCATTCCAGAAGCCTGAATTGGCACTGGGTCGCATCTCAATTACTCCTAACACATAATAAGATGTAAATGCTATGTAAATAGTTACACTATATTTTTCAGTATAGATGTAATTTTTCCCTAATTCATTCACTTTTTTCTTCCTGTTTATTTATTTTAGCAGTACTGGGGTTTGAACCCAGGGCCTCCAGCTTGCTCAGCAGGTGTTCTACAGATTGACTACACCCAACTTTTGTTTTTTTAAGAATGGGGTCTCACTATGTAGTCCAGACTGATGTCAAACTTGCCATTCTCCTGCCTCAGTCTCCTGCGTGCTGGGATTACAGGGGTGCACCATCATGCCTTTTCCCAAATATTTTCAACCCATGCTTGGTTGAATCTACAGGTGCAGCTTTGTAGAGCCATATTACTGTCTTTATTCTGAGTGTCTGTGTACATCACAAAAAGCAATGAGGTCTGTTAACCTGGAGGAGGAAGCACAGATGTCAGGGAATAAGTAGTAGTCTCTGTCACAAGGCTCTTAGTGGAATCATATGAGGGCCACAAAAACAGAAATCTACACACAAGTTGAATGTATTCCCATTTATTCTGTTGAGACTGAATACATAATTTTAATATGCTCAAACTTAAAGATGGACATAAAAGATCTGAAAAAATGGAGTGCTATACCATATCATAGATCATTTAAATGTTACAAAATTCAAAGGAAAAATTTTTTTCCTAAGGGATTAACAAACTTTTGCAAAATTATACCACATATTAGTGGGAGGATAATGGCCTTTTTAGTAGACAAAGCTGAGAAAATTGCTTATTATATGCTTTAAAAAATAAAACTTGGTCTCCGAAAAAAAGGTGCATTTCAAATAGTACAAAAGTGAAGTCCAATAGCAACCAGTACACCCTGGCATCAACCAGTGTGAACCAGGGTTTGGCCACTCAGAACAGCCACCAGTCAACATACCAGCGGCCACTCATTGGACTTTACCCCATTTTCAGGCCTCACTATGAAAGGAAAAACTAGTGAGCCAACAAGAAAATAAAAACATCTTAACTAGTTTTAAATAAGAAATCAAAAAGCTGCAAACTTTATATTAAAAGCTAACTTGTCAAAAAAAAAAAAACCATTAAAACATTAAAATGAAGACTGTTCAGGACAGGATCCCCTAGCTCACAAAGTGCTATTCTGAGTTATTTGCGAAGGTCTGGGGTCTTATCAGCAACTCTTCAGAATGAAGAAACACACAAAAAAAGAAGTTCCATGAAAAAATGATCAGCTCAAAGAGAAACCAGAAAGGTGCACAGGTATGTGAAAGAATTCACCAAATTAATGGTGACCAGATGAATGTACATTAAAGCATGGTGGCACTTTTTACTTATCAAACTGGCAAAACTGGAAAGCTGGGCAATAGCAAGTGCTGCTGAGGATAAAAAAGGAAAGCCCCAAGTGGGAGGTCAATCTGCACTCCAAAGAAAATCTGGAAAGCCAGAAAAATTCACTGTATGACCCATAATCCCTTCTTGGGTAAGGATGCTAGAGCACTGTCTACACAGGCCCAGAGGGAACACAGAAAAAGGTGCTGAGGAGCTTGAAGCACTCAGGTATCCCCCTTAAGGCAACGTGTGAGTAAAATCCACCTGATGCCACTGTGGAGCACCACGCGGCAGGTAAGAGGAACCAGAGACCTAGAAGGAGCAACAGGCAGGGCTGGATCTTCACACACACTCAGTGAGAACAGTAAGATCGATCACGCAATACCACAGACACAAAGCAAAAGCATATTCACTCATAAAACACTGTAAGGACATTCATAATCAAAGATGTGCAACAAAGATTAGTTGGGGTGCTGACAGGAGGGGATGGTATGAAGAAAGGAGAAAAACCCGTAAAACCTTAAAGTCCTTGCCTGGGACTATATTCTCAAGAGCCAAAAACAAAAGCAAAAAAAAAACAACTGAATGTGCAGGTGTGGCTTAAATGTATACAGCAGAAATGTGTACCAGAGGATGGCTATGAAGAGTCTTAAGGGGAGACAGCAGGGCTGACCCTCCACTACTGTTATCCGGCTCGATGGCCTATGCTTAAGTTACAGCCCATGTGCGTGTGCTCGTTTATTTCCTACATACCAAGGAGTCCTGCCAGTACATGCACCTCAAGCAAACTGAACTCCCAGCCTCAAGGCCACTACTGGTGTTTGGTGTGGCATAAATCCCAGGCCTCAAAGCCCATTCCCAACCCTCATGTATTCCCAATAACTCTTTAAATATGGGCAGAGTTTCTCAGAACAGACATTTCAAGGAAGCAAAGGGTGATCAACGATGGAAGTCAAAGGGTAGAGGTAAGAAGATTCTTTCTCTTGTCCCAGGGGCTCCAAAAACTCAGCACATGTGCATGGACCCACAGGCCACCCAGGGCAGCAACAATCACCACACAACTACCAGTTAACAGCTTGAGACCAGAGTCAATAGGAGATAGGGCCAAAAGATCACTGTTTGATTTTGTTTCTGTTGTTTAGTTTCTGTTAGCCCTTGCGGGGCAAAAAAACAGGAGACATTCTTCCCAAGTCTTCCAAACATGGAGTAGAGCTTCAGCCCCAGACCTCGATGAGGTCCCCAGATTCCATGCCCAGATCAGCTGGCAGCTCCTTGCCTGAAAGCTTTGTCCCATCAAAGAAGAAGGAAAGCTTGTGTCCAGAGAGTCCCATAGCCTCCTCATAGTGCGACATGAGGGTCTTGAGAGGAGAATCCTGGGTGGAGACAAAAACATAGATGTAAAAATGTGAAAGGAGGGGTAGGAGAGACCCCGTAGGGATGAACGGAGAACATGGGACAGAGGATAAAGAGCACAAGACGGGGAGGCAAGAAGCCGGCACAGCCAGCTCCTCTCTGGGAACTGAGACAGGTCCTTTCCTTCCTCTGGGAGGCATTTCCTCAGGCAGAGTAGAGACCAGAATCCATGACTTGACACTGCAGGTTCTGGGTTAGGCAAATTCTCCATGCCTTAATCACCTAACCTACGAAATGGAGGCAGAGACCGTAAGAGAGCCCAGATCCTAAAGTGAGAATGATCTGAACTGGGAGCCAGTCTCCCCCACTTATTAAATGCATGACCTTAGACAAGTGTTATGGGTTGAACTGTGTCCCCCCAAAAAGACACCTTGTAGTCCTAACCCAGGGTAAGTGAAGAGTGGGATCTTACTTGAATTTAGGGCCTTTGCAGATGTAATCAAGTTAAGATGAGGTTATATATGACTAGGATGGCTACTAATCCAGGATGAGTTGTCTTCACAAGAGAAAATAGAGGACCAGAAAGACAATGGGAGAATGCCACGTGATAGCAGAGGTTAGGTGAAGCAGCTGCAAGCTGAGGAACTCCAGTTACCACCAGAAGCTAGAAGAAAGGAAGGATTCTCCCCAGAGCCTCAGAGGGAACACAGTCCTGCTCACACCTGATTTCAGACATCTGGCCTCCAGAACTATGAGAGAATAGATTTCTGTTGTTTTAAGCCATCCACTGTGGTACAGCAGTCCCCAAGGGGATACGTTCCAAAACCCCCAGTGGATGCCTGAAATCACCCATCATACCAAACCCTATATGCACTATGCTTGTTTCCTGTACATACATACTTATGATAGTTTAATTTACAAATTAGGTGCAGTAGGAAATTAATACCTAATAATAAAATTAGAATAATATTAACAATATGTTGTAATAAAAGTTTTGTGGCTGTGTCTGTTGCCATCTCTCTCAAAATACCATATTATGTAGTAGATATTACAACTTCAGCGTAAGATTTTTTTCTTATTAAGAATTTTTGTCTGTTCACTTAAAAGAAATTTGTACAGCCGGGAGCCAGTGGCTCAGGCCTGTACTCCTAGCTATTCAGGAGGCAGCGATCAGGAGGATCACAGTTTGAAGCCAGCCGGGGAAAATAGTTCGCAAGACCCTATCTTGAAAAATCCTATCTTTACATAAAAAAACAGGGGCTGGCGGAGTGGCTCAAGGTGAACAGTACCACAAAAGAAAAAAAAAAGAATTCTGTACAACAAACATATCCTAATAAAAACATTAATGGAAAAAAAAAGAAGCATAATCTTAAAAATAAAAAGAGCTGGTATGAGTTCAATGATAGAGCACTTGCCTAGCATGGCAATGCCCTGGGTTCCATCCCCACTACTAAAAAAAGGGAGCACTTCACAGGTTTGTTTTGTTGTTTTGTTTTTTGACATATCCAAATTGTCAGCACTACTACTCTTGTGCATTGAGGCCACTATTAAGTAAAACAAGGTTACTGGAACACCGACAGCTACTGACTAAAGTGTAGGTAGTCCATATAGTGTAGATACCCTGGACAAAGGGATGAGTCACATCCTGGGAGGGACAGAGTGGGCTAGTTACAGAATGGTGCAAGATTTCATTACACTACTCAGAATGATGCATAATTTAAAACTTATTCATTGTTTAGTTCTGGAATTTTCCATGTAATATTTTCAGATCACATTTCCATAAGTAACTGAAACCTTAGAAGGCAAACCCCAAGCCAAGTGAAAGTGGTTCATACTTGTAACCTCAGCTACTTGGGAGGCTGAAGTCACGAAGATCGCAGTTCAGGGCCAGCTGGGGCAAAAAGTTTATGAGACCTCCATCTCAATCAATAGCTGGGCGTAGTGGCATGTGCCTATCATCCTAAGCTACACAGGAGGCTAAGATCAGAAGGAGCAAAGTTCCAGGCCAGTCCAGGCAAAAAAAACTTCATGAAACACCCATCTCAACAGGGAAGGTTAGTATGAAATAGGATTGTAGTCCAGGTCAGCCTAGGGCAAAAAGTAAAATCCTATCTCCAAAATAACCAGTACCAAAGGGCTGGAAGCATGACTCAAGCAGTAGAGTGCATGCCTAGCAAATGCAAAGCTCTGAGTTCAAACCCCAGTACTACCAAAAAAAAAAAAAAAAAAGAGGCAAACCCCAGATGAAGCAATTTTGTTATGGCTGCCATAAGAAACTAATGGAGCTTAATTTCGCCTCTCTAGATCTTGGTTTCCTTATTTGTTAACTGATGGTAACCACCATGTTTTCCCACATAAGATTACTGTGAAACTAAGTAATATCCTGAACAGAAAGTAAGTAAATATCCTCAGTACAGGGGACTGGCACTTATAATCGTGGTTTTGGGCTTTGGGTGTCACTTAATGGTAGAGCACCTGCTTACGATGTACAGTCTGGGTCAATTCCCAGCAACACACACAAAAAAGTGTGGCTAGGCACCACTGGTGCAAATCTGTAATCCTAGCTATTTAGGAGGATTGTGGTTCAAAGCCAGCCTGGGCAAATAGTTCTCGAGATCCTATCTCGAAAAAACCCATCACAAAAAAAAGGATGGTAGAATGGCTCAAGGTATAAGCCCTGAGTTCAAGCCCCCAGCAATGCAAAAAAAAAGTGTAGCTTTAATTATTATTCTATCAGGTCTTATTGGTTACTATACAATGCTCCTCTCTGCACAATGAAGGAGTGAGAAAACAGAGGGGACATACAGACTAGAGCAGAGGCTCCCCACAGATGGGGAAGGAAGTTGATTAATAGGCTGTCTCCATTACCTAGGCTAGGTGAACTCCCATGAATATGAAGAGCACTGTCTATAACAAGTCAGAAGTAGGTAGAATCTGTCCTGTCAACTAACAAGAGAACCTGCAGAGGACAGGTGGGTGTGGTTGGGGTAGGAGGTATGGACAGCTATTTCTCACTCACTCGAGACAGAGAGATCTCTAGCTTCTGGTGTTTCTCCTTCCCTTGCACCCAGAGCTGGAGCTGTTGGGATGTCTCTGTAGCCTCTGAAGAACTTCTTAGCACCACACAGTCTGTGAGAGGCAAAATTAGGAAGACAGGAGGAAGTGGTGAGCTGGAAGCAAGGCCTGCTCTGGAGCTTTCCCCATGTCCCCTCTCCTGAAGGTCCCTCTTCCTTGCCTTTCACTCACCAATGATGTCAGCCACTCCAAGCTTTAGGGTTCTGGGAGTGGCTGTAGGAGATAGCTCTGTCTCTCCAAAGAGCAAGAGGATCCTGCTTGGGGACACCCTGAGACGGGCAGCCATGTGGTCCACAACACTCTGAAGGGGCTCCGACTAGGGAGGGAAACAAGAAGCCAAGAAGGTCTTCCAGCCTCGAAATTTTCCTCCCCACCCCCACCCTAACATCACCACCCCAAACACAAGGTTCTGGCCTGGGCTACTTGCTGAATTCCTCAGCTGCGAGTTTCACCATATTTACCTGGCAAGCAAGAGCTCAGCAAGAGCTCCAGGCAAGTAGCACAAAGCAATGAATCAGCCAAGAGTTAGGAGAAAAAAAAGGGGAAGTGAGGATTATAGTAAATGAATTGCACGCCCCAGTTAAACAGGCTAGCCCTTACACACTCCAGCTGACTGGTACCATGTAGAAATATGGGTCAGTGTGACTACTGCTTCCTATTTTTAAGCCCAGCTTTTGTATGAAATCACCCATTGCAAAGTTTGGCAACAAATTCTTTTTTTTTTTTTTTTTTCCGCAGTCCTGGAGGTGGAATCCAGAGCCTCACACGTGATAGGCAAGTCCACAACTACTTAGCCACGCCCCTCAGTTTTTCATATATATGTTTAAAACACTCTACAGAGCAAAGTAAGCAGATGCACAGTTGATAAGACTGCAGACTGCCAGTTTGCAACCAAAGGATTAACTGCTTGACCTATGCATGGTTCTCTCTCTTTTTTTTTCTTAGTGGGACTGGGGTTTGAACTCAGGGCTTCGCACTTGCAAACAGGAGCTCTACCACTCAAGCCACTCCTCCAGCCCACACGGTTCTCACAGGGATAACAGGTTCTGTTATCATTCTTGGTATTGAATATCCCTATACAAATATCAGCCTTTTCCAGAAAGCTGGTGTACTCAGGGAGACTGAGTGGCAGCTGCTGTGTCCAATGCAGTGAGAGCAAGCACAAGGATGAAGCACAGACCCCTGGGAGGAAAGAAGGAAGGGACACAGCCTGGAGACACACACCCTAAAAAAGCTTTGCAGCAGACCAATGCATTAAGTGGAGCTCTGAAGAGTAGGCAGAAAGGGGGAGAACAACAAGGAAAAAACACGAGGGAAAATACAGACAGCAAATAAAAAGGCTTGGAGGGATGACGGAGTGATAGGCAGCTAGAGAACAGGACAAGGAGGAAGGTGCTGCACCTCTCGCCAGTATACCCTTGTTGGGCTCCAGTCTCTCTACAGGCAGCTCCTGGTCCTTCTCCCGCCAGCTCCCAGGCACTTACCATTCTGATAGGCAATCTGACCAGGTCAGCCCGGCACCGGATTTTGAGCGGGAAGAGCCTAGGGCTCTCTGGCAGGACGGGCCCCTCAAGCAGGACCACCTCATCATCTTGGTTCTGGTGGTCTTGACCCTGGCGCTGCTTGGGGCTCAGACAGGATCGGAGGTCCCGGAGGCGTTTGTTCACCTCCCTGGGGTACAGATAGGACAGTGGGTCAGCTGAGGTTGGTCACCTTTCCAAACTGACACCCTCCACCCCAGCTGGAGTCTACAGCCCTGGCACCTTAACTTCTGGAGTGCCCGAGTATGCTTTCTGCTTTTAGTCCTTGGTGGAGGTGGGGGTGAAGGAGAGGTGTCCTGAATCCTGTATGGGGAAGAAAGGAACAGAATGGAGATAAAGGAGATACTCCAGCCCCACACTTCTCCTCATGGCTGTGAACCCCCAGAAACCACAGGGGGAGCAGGAGAATCAAGAGGAAGCACCTCCCAATAACATCCGCTTCACTGGAAGACAGGATAGGTAAGGGACAGATAATCTGGAACATCATTTTTATATTTACATAACTCAAATATGCCTCATTTTAAGATAAGTCATTTTCCAGGCAGATGTCCAATAACATTCTACAGATACCAAGCACTGACTACTCTTCATCTACTAAGTAATTCTCTGGCACAGGTGCCATGGTTATCCCCATTGTACAGATTAGGAAAGATAAGACAAGGAGAAGATAGCTAGTCAAATTTGACCTATACCCTTTGAACTAAATCCCTGCATTACCCTGTCTCAGATTCCATTCCCCTGGATGAGCTGAAAGGTTCTGTGTCATCCTCTGAAGTAGGCCACCTCTTACCCCAATACTATCATTCCCCACCTTAGTTCCTTCCAGCCCTTCTCCTTATGCTTTCAAGAGCCACCCAAGCTTCCTGCCTGCCTGAGTTTACCTCTCCAACTCCCTTCCTGTTCCCAGGGCCCAAGTGCCCCAGCCTCACTCACAGAAACACCTCCTTTTTCTTCTCTTCATTCTCATCCTTACTCCTCAGCTTCTTCTTCCAGGGAGAGCCTGGTAATGGGGGATCCTCGGGGTGAAGACTGCTAGACTCTGCCATTTCTGCCTCTGGGGGGCAAAGGAGGAAAAAGTGGAAAGAATTAGCCAAGAGAGGATAGTGGAGACCAAGAAGAAACAAGCCAGAGGCTTTAAGAAGGGTCCAAGGACTGGGCACCAATGGCTCATGCCTACAATCCTAGCTGCTCAGGAGGCAGAGATGAGGAGGATTGCAGTTCAAAGCCACCCCAGCAAATAGTTGGCAATACCCTATCTCAAAAATACCCAACACAAAAAAGGGCTGGTGGAGTGGCTCAGGAAGTAGAACACCTGCTAGCAAGCTCAAGGCCCTGAATTCAAGCTCCAGTAATACCAAGGTCCAAGGAGGCCTGGGGACATGGCTCAAGTAATAGAGTGCCTGCCTGGCAAGCATGAGGCCCTGAGTTAAAACCACAGTACCACCAAAAAAAAAAAAAGGAGGAAAAGGAGAACCTTACAAAGCCACCATGGTGGCTATGCCTGCAATCCCAGTACTTAACTAACTGAGGCATCAGAATTCGAGGGTTTGTTTTTGTTTTTGTTTGGTGGTACTGGGGTTTCAATTTGGCCTCATGCTTGCTAGGCAGGCAGTGTACCACTTGAGCCACTCTGTCACCCAGGGAACCAAGTCTGACACTGTCTCATAAAAGGGAGGTGAGGGGCAGAGGGCTAGCGGTGAAACTCAGTGGTAGACTCCTTGCCTAGTAAGAGGGAACATTAGGTTCTAGCCCCAGAATCACCAAAAAAAATAAAGAAAGAAAAAAATATAAGGGCCTGAGAAAGGATACCTACAGAGCCCCCAGACACACAGAGGACCATGTTAATATCTTTCTTTAAATTACTTTTTTAAATTAATTAAATTTTTCTTTTTTGCAGTACTGGGATTTGAACTCAGGACCTCATGCTTGCTAGGCAGGCACTCTACTGCTTGAGTCACTCCACGAGCCCTTTTTGTATTTGGTATTTTCAAGCCCGGCTTTGAACCAAGATCTTCCTGATTTCTGCTTCCTGAGTAGCTAGGATTACAGGTGTGAGCCACTGGTACCTGGCTAAATTACTCGTTTTAACTTAAATTTCTTTCTTTTTATTATTTTTTAAAATTTATTTATTTCAGTGGGGCTGGAGCTTGAACTCAGGCCTTTGCGCTCACAAAGCAGGCACTCTACTGCCTGAGCCACACCTCTAGTCTTTTTTTTTTTTTTGTGGGATGGAACCCAGTGTCTCAGTCATGCCAGGCAAGTGCTCTACCATTGAGCTAACATCCTCGGCCCTTTTTCACTTATTTTGAGACAGAGACCCCCTAAATTGAACTTGTGATCCTCCTGTCTGTCTACCATGCAGCTGGGATTACAGATGTGTGCCACCACATCCGGTTTAACTAAATTTTGAATAAAAAGCAAGATTACTAGTATAAAAAACTTTCCCCCATTTGCTTGCTACTAATAAAAGATAATCCTAAGGCTAGGGATGTATCTCAGTGGTAGAGCATGTGCTTATTATGGGCAAGGGCCTTGGTTCAATATCCAGCACCAAAAAATACTAAAATATATATATATATCACTATAAGCCATAAAATCCTATCCAAGTACGGATGTAGCTCAGTGGTAGGGACTTGCCTAACATGGACATGCCCTGCTGTTCAATTCCCAGCATTGCTAAATTAATAACAATACTATGCAAAAGAAGCAGTGATAATAACCCCTAGATCAGTGGTTCTCAACCAGGAACAATTCTGCCTCCCAGAGGACCTGTGGCAATATCTGGAGGTAATTTTGGCTGTCACAATGCAAAGGGGGAGTAAGTTGGGGTGTGCTACTGGCATTTAGAGGTCAGGAGGCTGTTAAACTTTCTACAATGTCCAGACAACCCCCACCACAAAGAATTTTCCAGTCCAAAATGTCAGTAATGCTGAGTTTGGGAAATTCTGTCCGAGCTAAATATGGCAGCTGCCAAAGGCATGAGCTTCTGTTTCTAACAAGCTCTCACGGGATGGCCTACATGGCTGGGCCCACATTTTGAACAGCTAGGACAGAGGTACTTTTTCCGCAGCACTTCCATATTTCAGATACTGTCCTAAACTACACATGTTGCTAAGAAACGGAGCTCTGCATATTCCCTTTAAATAATTCTCACCAAAATTCTTTGACATAGGTCCATAATTACTCCCATTTCCCTCATGAGGAAATTGAGCAAGGAGAGGTTAAATAACTTGCTCGAGGTGACACAGCTATCAAGGGATAGATAGAGCTGACCAGATGATGGCTCCTGTATATGCTTTTTTTTTTTTTTGCTTGAGTTACTAGGGCTTTAACTTAGAGCCTTCACCTTGAGCCACTCCACCAACCCTATTTTTGTGAAAGGTTTTTCGAGATAGGGTCTCGAGAATTATTTGCCCGGGCTGGCTTCGAACCACAATCCTTCTGCCTCTTGAGTAGCTGGGATTACAGGTGTGAGCCATCAGTGCTTGGCGTGTGTGTGCTCTTAATCAGTTACCAGCTTCCTTCACCATATGGAACTCTTTGTACAAGGTCTTCATAGACTTGATTCCTATTCACCACCCTTTGCAAAAGGTTTGCAAGAATCACATCACTGCGGGGGAGGACAAAGGCTGGGAAGCCCTGTTTAAATTCAAAGAACACCCTGCTGGCTCCAGAGTGTTCCCAGGGAACTTGCTGCAGATGTAATGAGATGTCAGAGATTCTCAACACCTCTCCATCCTCTGCCCCCACCAAGGTTACAGAAGCAGAATAGCTGGGAGTGGTGTATAAAAATCTGTGTATTAACTCACTCTCCTGCCTGTTAGAGCTGGGAGCGGGGGGCTGGATAGCACTTCGAAATTGGCTCCTGTGCCTTCTGGTTAACAATTTAGCTCCTTTCAGGACCAGTGCCTGAGGTAGGACACAGGGGTCTCCTCTCCCATGCCCTTCCCAAATCTCAGGAGAGTTGAGGGCTGTGAATATTCAGTGGTCCAGTGCTTGCAAGAATGTGAACTCCAAGTCTGAGAAAAGAAATGCTGGGCTCCTCTCCCTGAAAACCTTCCCTTACCTTCTTCCGCACCTTCTGGGTAGAGTTTCAAGAGGGGTGTGTCATCTGGGATAAGGTTGAGGCTGCTTTGTACCTGCAAAGACAAAAAGGGTTAGTCCCAAGTCTTCCCAGGACCCAAAGAAAACTGTGAATGGTTCTTCCCTGACATCGTCTCCTAAGGATGAAGACACCACGGTCCTCTCTGGGGGACTCAGGAGCCCAAATTGTAGCCTCTTTGCCCCACTCCCTTTCCCTTTCCTAAGGACCTCTTGGAGCCCCCATGCCTTTCTGAATCCTCATGGACCCCAGTCCCCAAATAAACAGCCCACCGTCCTGGCTTCCTTAGCAACGTGGCCCAAATCCTAACGTCAGGTTCTTCTGGGCCCTCTGAGTCCTCATCACCCCAGCCCTCGGCCTCCCTGTGCCCCAAGACCACAGACCAGGGAGCGCCACACTTCCAATATACCCCAAACCCCATGGCCTCCCAACCTGCAGGTGCCCCGGGAGCCCAGCGTCTCTACCTCCACCAACCCCCCAAAGTAAGGTCCAGACCGCGGCACCCCTCCCCCCCGCCCCATCGCCGAGGCCCAAGGCCTTGGCCTTCCGTGCTCGCCCTCCCGGGACCGGGCTGCACCTTCCCCGAGTACACTGGAACCACCGGCGCTCCCCCGGATCCAGCAGCAGCCGCCGCCGCCGCCTGACCACGGTCCGCGGGTCTGACCCTTCGCTGTCACTGTCGCTGTCGTGCCGGCGTGCGGCCCGCAAAGGAGGCTCCGGGGGCGGGACCGCTACTGGGACCGCTACCGGGACCGCTACCGGGACCGCTACCGGGTCCGCGGCACCGCGCGCCGCGGCAACCTCCACGATATCCTCTTCGCTGTCGCTGATCAAGTCCACAAGCACTGAGTCCAGAGTGCGCCGGGCTGGAGACCGCTGGATTCGGGGACGCCGGCCCCGACCGCCCCGGGCTCCCCGAGCCCCGCGGCCGGCCCCGCCGCCTCGGGGCCTCCGACCGCGTCTCCTCACCGGTTCCGCCATAGCACACCCTCAGCCGTGACACAAACTCGCCTCTACGCTCTTCGCCCGGCCCTCTGCCTCTCATTGGACAAGCAGCCTGCTAGTCAGCACCTCTTCCCGCCCACACACTCTAGATCCGCCTTTCCGCCTTCTCATTGGTCCTCGTACCAGCCCATCACGCACTCTCCACTGAAGCAAAGGCGCCAAAGATTCCAATGCCTTCAGTGCAATCAGCGATGGTTTAGATTCGGTACGGCCCCGCCCATTCGAGAGACACGTCTTCCTTTTTTTTTTTTTTTTTTTTTTGGCGGAGGAGCGAGGCATCCTGGGAACTGTAGTCCGTAAACCTTATGGCATACGAAAAGTGGAGTGTGGGTGGAAATTAAGCCTGCCTGAGTCTGCGGGTGTGTCCCTTTTATCTCCCCAACCACTGACCGGTGTGGGCGTGAGGCATTCCACTCAACACCACGCAGTCTCACACATGCGTATCCTCCCTCGCCTCACACATTTCGCGTGAAGTGTCAACACAGCCTGCACCCATAGAACTCATTCTCACGACATACACCTTAGCACGACTGAGCGGAGAAACACCTTTCACAGAAAATGCAAACTAAAGTAAGAGGCTTAACTGTCTCTGTTGTAAACAAGGGAAGAGACATCTCACCTCTGCCCTTTCAGAATTTCTTTCTCTGTCCTTTCGACTTACAATGGGATGATCTCCCAACTTACGATGGGACGATCCCCAACCTACAATGGGGTGACCTCCCAACGGACGCCTAACCTAGAGAACATCTTAGCCCAGTCACGGTGCATTAAGAACCCTGGATGTCCACCCTTGAAATGGTGGCCCACAGGGAGCAGGCAGTGAGATCCCTAGCCAAGGAAAAGATCCAAATTCAAAGTTCAAAATATGGATAGATGGAATTATCAAAATGAAACCCCTTTGTACAATTAATTTAGGCTAACAGAAAATTCAGAGTTCCTTTCCTATTGGATGTCTATCACTTCTGCAAGTTTGTCAGCTCAAAAAATACTGGGGTTTGAACTCAGGGCCTCACACTCGCTAGGCAGGCTCTCTACTTCTTGATCCACGCTCCCAACCTTTTTGCTTGCTATTTTCTGAATAGGGTCTCATTGTCATGCCTGGACAGGCCTAGACCCAATCCTCCTATTTACACTTCCTAGGTAGCTGTGATGACAGATTCACACCAACAATCCAGGCTTGTTTGTTGAGATGCGGTCTCACTAACATCTTGCCCAGGCTGGCATGGAACTGCAACCCTTCCAATCTCTACTTCCCAAGTAACCAGGATTAAAGGCATGAGCCACTGCACACCACAGATTTTTGGGTTTTAATTATATTCTCCAACACACCCATCCACAGTTCATGCAAATGGTGTCACACCAGACACTAGGTGTCTTCCAAACAACACAAACACACCCCTTCCACACTTCACAGCTCCCATTTTGCCTCCAATTGCATAACCCCGACAACTCACACATCCACACTATCCTTCACATCATAGGCAGAAGGCGCACACATGTCGCTCATGCATGGTATTCACTTGTACCTCACACATTCTACCAGAACACCACTTTTTTCTTTTTCTTTTTTTTTTTTTTTTTGCTGGCACTGGTGTTTGAACTCAGGGCCTCGCTGCTTGCTAGGAAGGCACTCTTGTGACTTGAGCCACTCTGCCAGCCCAACACTTTTTTCTTTTTCGTTCTTTTGTTGTTGTTGAAACAGGGTCTCCCTATGTAACCCAAGTTGGCTTTGAACTCAAGATATTCCTGTCTCAGTCTCCCCCCAGTGCTGGGATTACAGACATGACCCACGATGCCAGGCACAGAATAGCATCTTGACCGTGCCCATATCCCATCTCAGACACCTCTGCAGCAGGGCCACAATGATATTTTGCACACATATGCCCCAACTCCATCGACCCAAACCTTAGCTCCTCCATGCTGACTCAGTACAGGTCAGGACTGAAGGCGCGCAAGTCACCAGCAGATGGTGCACTTTTCCTGGACTGTGGAGGGGACTCCAAGGACATCCCAATCCCCAGGAGATCTTTGTAGCCAGGATGGAGGCATAGAGACTGTCCCAAAATCCCAGATGGGAGAACAAAATACATCAATATCCTCCCCCCAATATGCTTCTTTGGCATATTTCAAGATGGCTGTGCAGAGAAATGCAGATACAGGAATAGCTCTGGGAAGTCCTCCTTCAATAGAGCAGACACCTGTCAAGGAAATCTACATTAGAAAACTAAACTACACAGAGGGTTTCTGTCAGGTCACCCACCTTCCTCAGAAACCCTGAACCCATTTCTTTCCTTAGCTCAGGATTTTATTTTATTTTTTGTACTGGGGTCTGAACTCAGGGCTTTATGATTGCTACGCAGGTGCTCTACCATTTGAGCCACTCAGCCAGCCCTTTTTGTGTTGGCTATTTTTTGACCTGCCCCAAACTCAAAGCATGGGACAGGAAGGTGGGAAACTCTAGAATGTGGCTCCTTGGGGGCAGATCACTGTATAATGACTCTGGTGCCATTATGCAGTAAATCTTTTTTTAAATTTTTTTTCTAGATAGGGTCTGGTGAACTATTGGCCCCAGCTGGCTTTGAACCACAATCCTCCTGATCTCTGTCTCCTGAATTGCCAGGATTATGGGTGTGAGCCACTGGCACCCAGCTGTGCAACAAATCTTTAATAAATGCCAAATAATGATAATAACTAATATTTGAGTGCTTACTATGCCATGGGCATGTGTCTTATGAGTCATTTACTCATTAAGGGGCTGGGTTTGTAGGTCAGCGACAGAGAGCTTCCCTGGTATTCACCATCCCAGCACTGCAAAAGAAAAAGAAAAAAAAGAGCTGGGCAAGAGGATCACGGTCCAGGCTGGCAGGGCATAAATGTGAGACTGTATTTAAAAAATAACTAAAGTGAAAAGGGCTAGGGTATGGCTCAAATGGTAGAGCACCTGCCTAGCAAGTGCAAGGCCTGAGTTCAAATCCCAGTGCTGAAAAAGACTCATTAAGGAAGAAGCTATTATTATCATTCTTATTTCACAGACCAGAAAACTTCTGCACAAAGACCTTGAGTCCTCCAGCTAGGAAGGGGTAAGATTCAAACCCAAAGAGTCTGCACTGGACTGGGGTCAGCATGGTGCCATTCCAGCCCTAGCTCCCCGGGGAGCTCTTTTCTCCTGAGTCCCTAGGTCATTGCCATTCCCTGGCTGTTACCAGGGGAACAGAGGAGACTGAGATATGACCTCAGGAAGGGAGGATGCTTTGATCCAGGCAGGAACTGAAGTGAAGAAAGCAGGCTGGGTGACAGATGACAGGTAGGAGGGGTTCTGGCATGTGAGTATGTGGACAATGGTTGTTGTCCGTCTGGCCAGACCCAGACGTTTTTGTTATTGTTATTTTGTTTTTGAACCACAGAGACTTGTATTCAAGTAGATGCTAAGGGTTTACACCTTAAACCCCAAACACATGTAGAAAATATAAGGAGTGTGCTTGGGAGTTTGCATTTGTTTTGGAGGCTTTTGTTTGTTTTTTCTTTTTTTTCAGTGCTAGGAAATTGAATCCAGAGCCTCACCCATGCTAGGCAAGCACATTACCACTGACCTATGCCCCAGCCAACTTAACACTTGAGCTCAAAAGCAAAACAGAATCTTCTTGGTGCCAGAAACAAAGAAGGAATCAAAGGGACTGGCAGAGTAGCTCAAGTGTTAAGAGTGCCTTCCTAGCATGTGCTAAGCCATGGGTTCAAACGCCAGCACCACCAAAAAAAAGGAATCAAAGCTACCATGTGGGAGAGTGGGGATTGGCATTTTAATACCCACCTGGGGGCAAAGGTCAAGCCCAAGGCCCAGGAATAGCAGAGCTAAAACTAGACTTTGTGCCCAAAGCCAGGAACCAAGAGAGACTTGCTTATCTCATGTGGGCACAGACGATGGAGTTAAAAAATCATTGCTCAGACCCCAGCATGCAACATGGAAGTGAGCCCTAACAGCCCATCCACAGAAAAAGCCATCTTGGACAATCAGGATCCTAAGGCTTCCACAAGAGTGGCCTGGATGCAACCCAAACCTCTTGTGTGAAACCTGCTCCGAGAAACTCATGAATAAAACTCAGAAACCTGTGTAGCCAGTAAGACTGCAACAGAAGCCAAAGCAAGCTGGCCCCAGGGGGAGGCAGTAAGGCCCAGGAACTCAAGGGACTCCCACTGGTAAAGTCAAAGAAACCTTCCATGGAGACCATGAAACCAGGGGAGAATTCACTCCATTAAAAAGATGAGAAGCCAGGCACTGGTGGCTCACGCCTGTAATCCTAGCTACTTGGGAGTTTCAGATCGAGAGAATTGCGATTCAAGGCCTGCCCAGGTAAATAGGTCACAGGATCCCATCTCCAAAACAACCAGAGCAAAATGGAGGAGAGGTGTGGCTCAAGTAGAAAAGTGCCTGCTTTGCAGGCATGAAGTCCTAAATTCAAACTCTGACTCCACCAAAAAGAACAAAAAAAAAAAGCAGCTCCCCAAACCCTGCCCTTTTGTTTTTATTTTTGAGACAGGATCTCAACATTTAGCCCAGGCTGGCCTTGAACTTGCCACCCTCCTACCTCACCCTTTTGGGTTTCTATGGAGGCTCCATTAGGTAGGTCTGATAGGTTGCATCACTGGCCATTGGTGATCAACTGAATCTTCAGCCCTTTTACCCTTCCTGGGGCAGAAAGTCCCAACCCTCTATTTCTGTCCTGTCTTTCCAGTGATGTGCCCCGTCCTGAGGCTACCTGGGGTTGCCAGCCATCACCAACTAACCAGCATACAAAAAGGAGTACTTCCAAGATTGTAGGGATTTTAAGAGTTGCACACCAGGAACAGTGAGGGCCAAATACATATTTCATGGGGCTGAGGGTGTAACTTGGTACAGCCTGTGCTTAGCATGTGTGAGACCCTGGGTTTGACTTCCAGGATGAAAAAACGATGGTAAGACAGAGTGGCATATGCCTAGTTACCCAGGATGCTGAGGCAGGAAGATCACTTCAGCCTGCGAGCTCAAGACCTGGCTGAAAGAGTCCACAAAAACCCCATCTCAATGAACCAAGCCTTGTATGCACATATGAATAATAAAACAATAAAAAAAAAACCCATCTCAACCAGTAAAAGCTGGGTATGATGGTGCACACCTGTCATCCCAGCTACTCAGGAATGTGAATAAGAGGCTCGAGGTCCTGGTCAACCTAGGCATAAATGTGAGACCCTATTCGAAACATATCTGAAGCAAAAAGACCTGGTAGAGCACCGCCTAGCAAGTACAAGGCCTTGAGTTAGTTCAACTCCCAGGACCACCAAAAAATATGTATGCATATGTGTGCACATATTTTACAATATCATACATAAAATATACAGAAGATATACACAATGTACTTTGATAAATCCTGGCATATAATAAGCGCCTAGTGAGGTTATTGTGAGGATTATATGATTTAATTGATACCTGGTGCTCAACAAATAAATACTCCCAGGCTGGAGGAGTGCCTGACTAAGCAAGTGTGAAGCCATGAGTTTGAGCCCCAGTACCACCAAAATAATAATAATAATAATAATAATAATAAGGCTACACAAACTTTAGTCCCATAAATATAAAAATAAAAAAACACTCCCTGATCCCAGGTGTGTTCTCACTAGACTGTAAGTTGCTGCCCTGTTTCTTCTTCCCGAGGCACCCAGATTATAACAATTGAATGAACCGTACTGAATCACTGCATGGCAGAGATGAGGCTGATGCAAGCACTAAGGTGGCGGCAGGAAGATTGGGGAAATGGTGAAAGCCCAGCAGGCCACAGGTGGGAGAAGCAGTGTTGTGTGTAGAATGCAGCACCCCCTCCTCTGGGGATTTGGGAGGGGACCTGAGCATCCCAACCTCACCCTTCCCACCCTTCCACAAAGGCACTGCTTTGTAGGATTGAAAGAGCTCATTGAGTTTATTTCTGGAAAGCAAAATGGGTGGGAAGGAAGTTTCAGGGCACACACATGTGCACACACACATACACACACACATACTCAAGCACTGTCGCTCCAGAGGTTGGCACCATCTGTTTGGGGACCCCAGATTTCTGAGTTAGGTGTGGATCTTGGGGCCTGAAGAAGCCCAAGCTATGTAGAAGAAATGGGAATGAGGAGGGGTCAGGGATCTGCTCCCAGACTCTATGAACCCCTACCTTCTCTCTCCCTGAAAGCCAGCACCCACTGCCATCCCTGAACTCCCTCCATCTCCCTCTTTCCTCGGGGTAGTTCCTAGCTTACCTGGTCACCCGGGGTGGGGGGGTCACCTGGTACTCCAGGCCCCCATGTGGTCCCCTCCTATCCAAGTTGGTTCTGGCTCGTCAGAATTGTCCATGTTCTCATAAGAGTCTGCGTCTAGGGAGGGCCAGGAAGGAGTAAAAAGTAAGTAGGGCTGGAAGGAGGCTGGGAGAGAAGTCAGCCCACAGGATAACCTGTGACAGCAGCAGAAGCACCCACCTTCCTCATGACTGGCACCAGACCGAAGTGAGCGGAGCTGGGGGGCTGCATACAGCATCCCTCTCATGTCCTCATAGGACTGGGACCCTGCGTGGGCAGGGGAGGGAGAATTGGAGACCTAGGAGCCTTGCTGGGAACTTGAAGAAGGGAAATGCCACCTAGCATAAGGAGGGAGTCTGGGAAGGTGGAGACTTGCCCACATTGTTTTAGAAGGAGTAGTTAGGTCAACTTCAGGTCTGGGGCCCTGCTTAGTTGAACAGTCAGGGTTACATGTGGTTAGATTATGGCCATGGTCAAAGAAAGGGTCAAGAACAGTATTGGGAGGGTGCAAAGTCACGGTGATGAGATAGTTGTAGAGACAGTTGGGGTTATGGATGACGTTTGCACTGGGACTGGGATGAGAGGTGGAGGTCAAAGTCTGGGTTGGAGTTCATTGGGGTCAATGTTGATGTTCAAGGTTAGGTATGGTATGAAGTCTGTGGATCAGGATTGGACATGGGATCAGTGTTGAGGTTATAGTTAGGAGTCAAATCTAAGATCAGCACTCAGGAGATGAGACAGGATGATCACAAGTTCAAAGCCAGCCTGGGCTACATAGTGAGACCCTGACTTAAAACCAAAACAAAACAAACCACCACCACCAACAACAAAACCCCCACTCATTTAAAGTCAGAGTTAGGCTTGGGTTTGGGGTCAGAGTCAGGTCAAGGTTGGGTCTGGTGTCATAGCTGAGGGTGGACCAAGCTGGGCACCCCTATGCTGGTCATCAGCATCTCTCACCAAGGGAGGTTGCTTCACGGCTGGGGTCCCAGGCAGACCCATGGGGGCTCAAGAAGTCTGGAAAGGAAGAGGGGAGTCACTATTCCTCCAGGCCTCTGACCCTCCCAGGAATGTGACCATCCTCTCACACACCTACTGTCCTGGTGACTGGCTGGACCAGCTCTCCATCATCGTTCTCATAAGACTCAGCTGCGGTAAAAGAAAGAGAGCTCCAGAGATCATTCTGGCCTACTAGGACCCCACAGCCATGAGGACCCAAAAGGACCCCCAAATTACCGTTCGAGAAAGAGTCCTCATCCTCAGGACCCAACGGCCCGTCCTCAGGGTTCTCATAGCCACTGCCATCTGTCAGAGAAAGAAGGGTATCCAGCGAGGGTCCACCCACCCACAATTGGGAAGACGGGCGACCAACCCTGGGAGGGCAGCCTTACCCTGGGAGAGCTGGTCCTGCCCAAGGTTGGAGTCGTTTTCATAGAACTCAGAGCCCTCTTCACTGTCCGGCTCCTCATAGGCTTCTCCTTCCTCTTCTTCCAGCCCTGGATTTGGGGACAAGGGTGGAGAACTGAGTCACGTCCTCCTCCAGCTGCAGTGCACTATTCCTGGCACACACACCCCATGAGGAACGACTCTCTCACTCACCTGCTTCAGTGGGGCTCCGGGGCTCGACCGCACTAACCTCCTGGACACTGCTGCGTGGGTTTCCATAGGACCGGGCAGCGCCCCCCAGGCCTGCCGCCCAACGCTGGGCTCGTCCTGGTAAGCACGTGGGAAGGGGATCATCAGAGACAGGGCGGGCAGGGAAGAGGATACTCTGGGTCTGTGTACCCGGTTCTGCACCATAGGGGCCAGATCAAAAGCTATGGCAGTGGTCTCAAGTTCTGCAGGGAGATTCTGCCCTGGACCTGGATTTAAGGCACTGAGCCTGGGGGCGGGGCTACGAGAGTCAGAGGCGGGGCTTGGCCCTGGGGGCGGAGCCACATCTGCGTTCTGGGGGAGGAATGCTGAGCTTAGCGCTCAGGGGATTGGAGGATGAGGACGATGGGCAGAGCTCTAACGCCAGGGCGGAGCTATAGTTTGGAGTGGGTGTGCCTGGGTCAGAGACCTCAAGGTGCCACTTACCAGTGCCAGAGGTGGACATGGGAAGGGATAGCACGTTCCCGTACTGATTTTGGGTCCCGTTTCCTGGGGGAGGCGTCACTTTGTAGAACCTGGCAGGAGAAGAGGAGGTGCACTATGAGGCTAGATCTGGAAGGGACTAGGGAACACACTCAGGATTGAGTCTTTGTCCAGGCTCTTAGAGTAAAAACGGGGTCACTGTGACTTGCTTTCTGTGCTGAGACGGCCTACAGAGGAGTCTGGGATCACTCACTTGGGCAGTATTTCAGCCGGTAGAGATGGGGCAGACACCCTCCCCGCCCCACCCCCTCCCCCGGCAGAAGAAATTCCAAGTGCAGAGTATCTAGTGAAAGAGAGGGAGGGGCTGCCTTACCTCCTGGTGGGATCTGTCATTCGCTTTCTTTTCCTCCTCAGGATCAGGGCTGGTGGGATTTAAAAGAGGTGATCAGAGGAGGTGCTGCCTAGCAAGGGAAGGGTTTGAGTGTGGTGGGGTGCTGGGGTGCTTGAGTCAATTGGGAAGAGGCAGTTCAAATTCCCAGGGGCTGGGGAGGTTTGAGAGACATTAGAGGAGTAGAGAGCAGGGTTGCAGAACTTGTGGGGAAGGGATGAGAGGAGAGAAAAATGGCTGGCCATTGTGAGCTTATCTTGAGGAAGATGGTGTAGGGTTTGGGAAAACCCACTGGGGGGACGTGACTCACCTTGTCTAAGATAAAGAAAAGCTATCAGGGAACTCAGGCAGAAGATGAGATAAGCCAAAGTCACAACTGGGACTATCCAGCCACGAGACCTCAGCAGCCAGCGCAATGCTATTAAGGGAAAAAGGAATGAGACAAGGGTCCCAGGCTGCATCTTACTTCCCAACCTCAAGAACTCAAGGGACCATACATCTAAGGACAAAAGCAAAATACAGGCACAAAGTCCCAAGCTATGAGGAAGACTCTCCTCCCTCCCTCTAAGAAACCATGTCCCAGGAGGACAAGGACTGTGCCACAGAGCCTGGCATAGTCATGGAGCAGGATCTATTGGGCAAATCATGTACAAAGGATGGATTAAAGGGAGCTTACTGATGCAGTTAAGGGCTGGAGGAGTGACTCACTTGGTAGAGCGCCTGCCTAGCAAATGCAAAGCCCTCAGTTCAAATCCCAGTACCGCCAAAAAAAAAAAAAGAAGAAGAAGAAGACTGCAGCAGTTAAGAACAATCACAGTCAAGGTGAAAGGCACTGGTGAGTTTGAAAGGTTAAATCTGGGATCCTGTCCATTGCTAAGGTCATTGGAGTAGAAATTGAGGTTGAGTTTGAGGACTGGAATGGAAGCTTGTACTAAGGACACAGAATGGGGAGGACATTGTGACTTACTGATGGGTAGGGTGCGGAAAAGGAAGGATGTGCAGGCTCCTAGGTTGAACAAGTGGCAAATGGTGGCATTTTCACTTATGCAGGGCCACTCAGAAGACTAATACTCTGGAAAGATGTTAAGTTTGATTTTTTTACATCGTGAGGCTGTGGTGTCCATGGGACACCAAAGGCCATTCCAAGAGATGGCTGCAATTGGGGTGTATGGAGCCTAGAGTGGAGTCACCAAGGCATGGTGACCCATGGGCATATAGGAGGTCAAATGAGAAGAGCGTGCAGAGGAGTGAGAAGATCCAGGGCTCTAACAGAAAAGCAGGGAAGGAAGACTCCATGAACATGGAAAGGAGCGACTGCCAATGGCAGGAAAGGACATGGAACAATTGGTTCTCAGAAGCAAGGAGAAAAGAGCTGGAGTTGATGTTGTGTTCAGTGTAACAATTGGGGGTTGGGATGAGGCTGATCCTAGCCAGTTCTTCCAGTGCCCTACACAGATGCCCCATGATGGGGAGGAACCCCACCTGGCTGGGCAGTGACCTTCAGGTGTATCTCGACGGTCATGTTTTCACGGTGACAATAATAGGTACCGGTATCTTTACCCGTAGCCTGGGGCAGTAACAGATGATACCTCAGGATCCACATCTCTCTTCCTGGGGGATCTTCCCCCAGGTTTAGGCTTAGCAATGGGATGGTAGGCTTCTTGGGGTGCACATGGGTCCAGGAGACAGAGCTCCTGGCTACAGAAGCAGGGGGCACCCCACAGGACATCCAGAGTGTGGAGCCAGAGGTCACAGTGAGGTCTAGAGCAGAGAGAGACAGGGAAGGGTAACTGTAATCCTAGGGATCTTCTCCCCCCAAGACCCTCCAGATTTTCATCACCATCTCTACCCTTGAACCCCACTTCCTGGCATCTCCCCAGCCATTCTCTTACCTTGGTTGAAGCTCTGGTTCAGTCTTTCCCTCTGTGGGGTACACACAGGCTCTGCTCCCCAGGTCTTGGGGTGGCCTTTGTCCCACACATATAGCCAGGACCTGTTGGGGTGACCAGAAGAGAGTCTGGGACTCTCTGAGGATCTGTTCTCCAGGCCACAGCCTAGGTCCCCAAAGTCTGAAGCATTCCACCGGAACAGCTCTCCTAGGAAGAGAACCCAAACAGACATAGAAGAGAGAGAGAGATACAGAGACCCAGAAAGTCAGAGACAAAGAGAAACAGAGACAGAGAGACAGGGACTCCGACAGTACGGGGAGACAGAGAGACACCAGGAGTTGAGTCAGGAAGTCCCAGGAGCCTGCTGCCTGGAACCAGGTCCTTGGCCTCTCCAGCCCCTCCCTCCAGCCCCACTTTGGCTGCAGGCCATGGCAGGCCCCCTCTTCTCATCCAGTCCCCCACCCCTGCCCAGCTCAGCCTCACCGCTGCCCTCCACGCTCACTGTCCAGCCAGGCTGCTGGGCATCCTGAGAAGGGGGCCCAGGCTGGCACAGATAGAAGCCTCCGTTCTGGTCCGAGACATTGAAGATGAGTAGCAGGGTGCCCATGGGCCCCAACCGGATGCCCAGGCCCGGTACCCCCAAGCTCAACTCTAAGAAGGGTGCTGACTGGTTCCCCCGATACCAGGTCAGGTTCTTAGAGGCAGTAGTATCTGGGGAAACCTGAAGGCAGGGCAACACAGCATCATCTCCCTCTGTAGAGAGAAAGAGAGAGAGAAAGAGAGAGGAGCCACAGTCCCCTTTTCTCCTCAGAAAACAAAGCTGGGCATACATAAGCCCCAGAGTTCTTCCAACTCCTCCCGGAACTTTCCAAGTAAGAAAATGGAGGCTCAGAGAGAGTAAGTTACTCAGCCGAGGACACCCCACCACAACCCAGGCTTCCAGCCCCAACTCCTTTCCCCTTTGCCCTCTGGACATACCTTCCACTGCCACCAGCACTGGTTTCTGGGACCTGACCCCCATGGGGGTCAGGAAGAGGACGAAGGAGAAGAGGAGAGGAGGTGGCATGGTGGCCAGGCTCCCCGGGGCACCCAGCTTCACCGCGCAGGGGATGCTGGGGCAGGCAGGGGCCTGGTGGGCAGTGAAGCATGGGTGTCTGTGGAGGCGGCAGGCAGTCCCCCAGCCAGGAAGGTAGTGGTCACACCCCAGGCCCCCTTCTTCACTCGCCCCTCCAGAGCCACAAAACTTGCCTCCTCCCCGCTATACAGGTTTATTTTCACACCCGTACTTAGTCCCATGTGAAATGGTCTCATTTGTGGGTCTGTTCGTTCTTCCTATTTCTCTATTGGGCGATCCTGTTCATCACAGTGACCTAGAACAGGGCTTGGTGCTGGCACCTGCAAGTAGTTCTTGAATGAGTGGATTCTGCTTTAGGGCCTCCCTCTTTCTCTCCTCTCTTCCCTCTGCTCAGCCCCAGGCTCTGAGCCCATTTCCCTTCCATAATCATTTCTTGGGCCTCATTCCATTTCCATACAACCACTCCATCAGCACACTTTGGGGGGTGGCAGACCTGGGTTTGAATCTTTCACTCTATCATTTGGCTAAATTCCTTTATCACTAAAACCTCAGATTCTTTCTCTATCATCCAGGGATAATGTTGGTACTATAAAAAATATTGGAGGATCATGAGTTCAAGGCCAGTCAGGATTACACAATGAGTTATAGGCCAGACTGGGCTACAGAGAAAAGAGCAAGACCCTTTTAGTATATGCAATTATATGTAATCTGGAGGTGTGAGTGCTTGCTTTGCAAATGAGAAGCCCTGAGTTCAAACCCTAGCCCCATCAAAAAAAAAAAAAATACACACACACACACACACACACACACACACACACACACAGCATTTTTAACCTTCAGTTAATGAGAGACAGCATCAATTAATGACTTAGTGCTCAAACCAGACTGCCTGAGTTCAAAACCACGGGCAAGCTACCTTACCTACTGACTGGGGATGATAGAGAACCCACCCCACAGATTGTTCTGGGTCTAGGGGGTGGAGTGGGCAGTTTGAGGAGACAGGAGTTGCTGTCCCTCTTTTCTGGTGGTCCTTAGAAAGGATTGATGATGGCTATCCCCTTCTTGCTCAGTTCTTCCTCCAGGAAGCCCCCACTTCAGTTATAGAATAAACTCATAAAGAAATGGGGAAATTGAGGCCCAGGGAGGGCAGGGCATGACCTAAGGTCACACATTGAGCTGGTGGCACAGTGAGCATTAGAACCGGGAGTACATGTGTACGTGCCTTTCACTGCTGAAGGCACTCAGGGAAAGGGGACAGTGACCCAAGGGACCTGCTTTGCTTTCTCAGTTGATTCCCAGGCCTGTCTCACTGAGTTGTGGCTTCCTGTTTGCCCTGGGTGAAGCCCAGGGGACTCTACAGGTGGCAGGGCCCTTACTTCCCTTTGACAGGGTTGAAAGGGCTGGGAGGAGGAAGAGCCGGGTGAGGAAAAAGCATTTGTAGTCGACTAATTTAATCCCCATATGCTGTTTACCAGTTCCCTGCATTAGCTCCCCAGCTCCCTTGTCTAGCTGTTACCAGAGCTTGGCCGTCCCCTTCTCTTTTATTTATTTATTTACTGGTGGTACTGGGATTGCTCTACCACTTAAGCCAGCCCTTTTTGCTTGCTGTTTTTTAGAAAAGATCTCTTCCAGAGATTCTTCTACCTCTGCCTCCTCATATCTGGGATTACAGATACATACCACCACACCTGGCTTGCTTTTGAGATAGGATCTCACTAAATTTCAGCCCTGTTAGCCTCAAACCTTATCCTCCTATCTCTGCCTCCCAAGTGGGTGTGATTTATAGGCATGTGCTATCATGCACAGCAGCAATCCCCTTCTTAAAACACAGCCATGAGTTTTCATCTAAAATAAAACTCCAAACCATGGTGGGAGCAATGTTACATTTTCCATTCATCGCTCCACTACTGTGGTCTTTTCTTTCCTTTTTTCTTTCTTTATTTTTTTGGCAGTAATAGGGCTTGAACTACACTTCGAGCCACTCCACCAGCCCTTTTTTTCCTATGGGGTTTTTTGAGATAGGGTCTCCAGAACTATTTGCCCATGCTGACTTCGACCCACAATTCTCCTGATCTCTACCTCTTGAGTAGCCAGGATTACAGGCGTGAGTCACTGGCACCCAGCACCACTGTGGTCTTGGCTGACCATGCTCCAACTTGACATGTCCTTTCCCACCCCCAGGGCCTTTGCACTTGCTGCTTTATGCTTGACTGGCTCTTTTCATTGCTTGGTCTCAGCTCAAATGTTACTTCCTCAGAGAGACCTTCCCTGAGCACCCACGAACTTTTTTATTCATATCACTGTATGATTTCCTTCCTAGTACTTGTCCCAGCCTCAAATTATGCTTGTTTATTTGCTAATCTTAGCTACCTCCTGCACCGGGATGTTGACTCTTACAACAAGGATCTTCACTGTCTCTAGATATGCGCTCTTGTCTAATGGGCATTCAATAAGTATTCTCTTCCTGCGCACGCTCTCAATCACCAAGGCATGTCCATTTTACATCAGAAATATTGAGAGAATCAATTTTCTCCTCTCTTTGGATCCTATCTTCTCAATCCAAACCAATTCACCAGCCTCTAGCCGGGGTTCCTGTCCCATAGTATTTTGCTTCTCACCTATACGTCACATACCAAAAACCTTTTCAGTCAGGTGTCATTGTACACACCTGTAATTCCAGTTGCTTGAGGCTGAAGCAGGAGAATCTCAGGTTCCAGACCAACCTGGGCCACATAGTAAGTGCCAGGATAGGGGATAGATGACTACATAGGGAGGCCCTATCTTTTTTTTTTTTTTTTTTTTTGTGGGAAAGAGAGAGTGAAGAAAGGGAAGGGAAGGGAAAAGGAAAGGGAAGGGAAGGAAAAGGGAAAAGAAAGGAAAGAGAAAGGGAAAGGGAAAAAGAAAGAAAAGGAAAGGAGCAGAGGGCATGGTGGGGGAACATCTGTAATCCCGAATACTCAGGAGGCAGAGGCAGGAGGATCTCAAGTCTGAGGCCAGTCCAGACAAAAGTTAGCAAGACTTATCTCAAAAACAAAATACAAACAAAAGAGCAGGGGACTTGGCTCAAGTGTTAGAGCACTAGCATTGGAGAGGCCCTGAGTTCAATCCCCAGCACCACAAAATAAATAAAGCTTTTTGCTGTTGTTTTGTGTTCTATTTTATTGTTTTGCAGCATGCAAAAGAGGAACTAGCTGGGCGCTGGTGGCTCACGCCTGTAATCCTAGCTACTCAGGAGGCAGAGATGAGAAGGATTGGGGTTCAAAGCCAGCCCAGGCACATAGTTGATGAGACCCTATCTCAAAAAAAAAAAAATTCACAAAAAAGGGCTGGTGGAGTTGCTCAAGGTGTAGGCCCTGAGTTCAAATCCCAGTACTGCAAAAAAAGAAATAAGCTAGTGGAAATGGGAGACATGGATTGTTTTGAAAACATACTTAAACACAACTGAGTCCTACATCCGTCTGGACTCTAGGTCTGCTATAGTGAGCCTAGTGTAGATACCTTGACCACCGACCCCAATGACATCACGATTTCATCCCAATAAGACACATGAAATTGGGGTCCCAACAGTAGAATACGAGCACAAAGGGCCTCTTGTTTAGAGCCCCCTAAAGATATGATGTGACCAGGACAAGGGCAAGTGGACTTTCTCAGGTCAGTGGTCTGCAACAGCTGAGATTCTACATGATTCTCCTGGCTCCCAAAGGAAGCTTATTGGTCATGTGTTTCCCCTGCTCTAGTCTTCAATGGCTCCCAGAGCCCACAGCCTGATACTGCCACTCAGTCTCCCCAAAGTGACAGCAGCCTTATCTGTAATCGTCCTTGTGCCAAGCTTGCTGGTCTGTTTACTTTTATTAGAAACTGCTCTACCTTTTCTCCAGAGTGGCTGCACCATTTCCTATTCCCATCAGCAGCACCTGAGACCACTCCCCCACATCCTCACCAGCATCTGGTGTTACTGCTTTTATTAGGAGAGGTGTGTAGTGACATGGCCCTGTGGCTTTAATTTGTATTTCCCTAATGGCTAGTGATGTTGAGCACCTTTTCATGAGAACACTTGTCACTTGACATCAGAGAGCTGTTCTTGTTCTTTGTCCATTTTAAATTGGATAACTACAAAGCTTTAAGCAGGGATGAGGAGTGGCTCAAGTGGTAGAGCACCTGCCTAGCAAACATGAGGTTGAGTTCAAACTCCAGTGCCAATAAAAACAACAACAACAACAACAACAACAACAAAAACAACTATAAGCAGGGATGAGATATGATCTATATTTTACAAAGATCGCTCCAGCTTCTTTGAGATTTAACTGAAGGGGGCTAGAGTCCACAAGGACACCAGGGAAAGAATTGGGGGACATCTGGCAGTTCAGAAGAGTGATGATGGGTGCTGGGACTAGTTACTAGCGCTGGAGAAAGGAAATGCATTCTGGAATATTCAGTACACTGGAGGTTGAGTTTAAGAATTTCCAGGAGGCCACTAAGAATAAAGGACTTCCAGGTTCCAAGTGTCCTTTATAGGAGAAGGAAACCGATTTGGGGGTAGGGAGTAGGGAATTGCTTGTCATTGTTCAAGGCAAGAGGGCACACAATGAGAGTATGACCCAGGGCGAGGCTGAGAGGAAGGATCTGAGAAGCACTAGGAGCGGCAAGGGAGCTTAACAGGAAACGGCATCAAAATGGGGGTGGGGACGTGCAAGTTTCGCACTTCTATGACTGAGTGCGTGGGGACTCAGAGGCACCCAGAAAAATGAAGCCGACCCAGCCCTGGCCCGAGGGCCGACGGGCAAGGGCGGAGGTGCAGCGGCGGCTCGGCCGCAGTTCGCTGTAACGTGAGCCCGGCTGCGGCGGAAGGGCGATCAGGGGTTGGCTCTAAGCGGAGGGGAGGCGGAGGAGACACGCGCTTTGTCCTCCGCTGCCAAGGTCCCCAAGGAGGTGAAATTGGAGCAGAGCCTCCAAGGACACAAGAGACGCCAAGGAAGGAAGGACTCCGCAGAACCAGCAGACGTCCTCAGGAGCCGCTCAACCCAGCACAGGAGCGGGAATCCCAGCCAGGGCCGAGTGTCCACTCGGGAACCTTCGGCGGCGATCGGCAGCCCCTCCTTCACCTCCAACCACCGCCTCGGGCCCCCCAGCCTAGCCGGAAACAGCCGAGCGGATCCGGAAATAGCCGACAGGACCCGGAAGCGGGCAGCGCAGTCACCAGGGAGTGCGGGAATCCGCCGTTTGAGCTGAGGCGATGGCGGCAGCTGCGCCCGCAGCCCCAGGCGAGGACAGGAGGCTGCAGCGGCCGGGGGCCGGTACGTGAGGACGCGTCCGTGCGCGCGGAGGACAGTGGGGCCAGAGGCGGGCCGAGCTCCACAGCAGGCGTGGTGGGGGGGGTAGAGGGGAGACTGGGGAAAGGGGCGGGGCACGCCGCCGGGAAAGGGAGGCGGGGCTTGAGCTACCGGCGCAGGGGGCGTGGCCTGAGACCCCAGGGTTAAGGCAGGTGAGAAGTGGGGCGTGGTGAGGAAGGGGCGGAGCCATTGGAAGGTGGCGGGGCGGGGGGGGGGGGGCCGCGCCAGAGGAAAGGGGATTGGGTGAATGGAGGGAAGAGGCGGGCTATAGGCTACATAAGGCAGAGAAAGGCAGAAAGGAGGAGGGGAAGGGGAAGGGGCGGGGCCCAGGTGAATAAGGCGGGGCCAGTTAAATGGGGCGGGCCAGAGGCAGGTGGAGCTGCAGTACTAGGTTGCTGTACTTGCTGGTTTCGTTGGAGGACTGGGTGTCCTGGAAGTGATGGAGAGAAAGACTGATCCCTGTCGCCCACAGCGCTGGACCCCCAGCCGCCAGAGGGGGCAAAGGTTGAGGCAGAGTCAGATGAGCTCTGCCGGCTTCGGACTGAGCTGGCAGGCGCCCTGGCAGAAATGGAGACCATGAAGGCTGTGGCTGAGGTGAGCGAGAGCACGAAGGCTGAAGCAGTGGCTGCAGTGCAGCGGCAGTGCCAAGAGGAGGTGGCCTCCCTGCAGACCATCCTGAAAGGTGAGAGGGGTCCTCTCCCGGACCCGCCATCGGCCCATCAGGGGTTGTGCGGGACAAGAAAGGCATCAAATAAGCTTTGGCTTGCCTAGCACAAAGTATGTCTGTGGCCCTCTAATTTGCTTAGAGACGCCGCATGTGATGTCCGCAGCGCTGTCAGTTACAGCTAAGTTTCACTCCCAGGCTCTACCTGTTCCCTTGCCCTCTGTCATTTCTTGTCCCTCAGTGATGACCGATCAACCCTGAAGATGAGGAAGAAACTGCTCAGTTCCCTGAACCAGCTTCATTTTGGTGTGGGCTCCAGGCTATAGTCAGCCTCAGGTCCAATCTCTGCCAGTCTAATCCTCTGCTTTCCTTCACCCTCCACATACGCATGCACCTCCCTCTTCCCTTCCTCTGTTTCATGGCCTCTGAACTTGGGAAGCACCAGCTCCCTTGGCCCCAGCTTTTCCTGTATCCTGCGCTCTCTAGTCGGAGGCCAGAGTCTCTGAAACAGGTGGCAGACCTGTCCCCACATCTGCCCCTGCTTTTGCAGGGCTTTCCTGGACTAGTGTCCCAGCCTCCTTATAGATTTTCTTCTGTGCTCTGCTCTTGACATTGAATTCCAGAGTAACTGCCTAAAATTTCCATCCTTTTCCCCTTTAACAACTGCTCCTGGCTCCAGACTTCTCTGGGGCTATTTTCCCCACACTTTTAGGTATCCACATACCTGTGCAATGTAGTCATATCTTCATATGACTTCTTAATTCTCTTATTCTGTTACCCTTAATACTTATTCTTTAAGTAGATACATTTTTTAAAAGCTTGCACAACAAGCCAGTGTTGTGTTGCACATCTGTAATCTCAGCACTCAGGAGACTGAGGCAAGAAGATCCATGAGTCCCATGCTGGCCTGAACTACATGGTGAGACCCTGTCTCAAAAAAGAAAAAAATGAAAATCCCAGCTGGGGGCATGGCTCAAGTGGTAGAGCGCCTTCCCAGAAAGTATGAGGTCCTGAGTTCAAATCCCATTTCTGCCAAAAAAGAAAAGAAAAAGAAAATCCCAACTACCTAGGGGTCGAAGATCAGAAGAATAGAGGTTTGAGAACAACCTAGGCAAAAAGTTGGTGCCATCTCAATCAGTAAGCCTGGTGTGGTGGCACACACCTATGGTACAAGGTAAACAAGAGGCTATAGGTAGGAGGATTTCAGTCTGAGGCTGGCCCCAGGCAAAACTGGAGAACTTACCTGAAAAATAACAAGCAAAAAGAACTCAGGGAGGTGGGGGGGGCACCCAAGTGGTAAAGTGCCAGCCTGGTAAACTTGAGGTCCTGAGTTCAAATTCCGGTAACAACAACAACAAAAAGATTGCATACATTTATTAAAGGAAACTTGTTATCTCCAGTCAGTTAGAAAAACAAGATGTGTGGTAGTAATAACAATAGCTAGCGTATGTGGATCACTTACCACGTGCCAGGCACAGAGCTAATGCTGTATGAGTTTGGAATCTTAACAGCCTGTATGAGGTAAGAACTATTACCCATCACCCCATACAGAGGAGGCACTGAGGCCCAGACAGGTTAAACTTGCCCACAGGCACACAGCTGGTAGGCAGATGTATACCCAGTCGGTCTGGCAACGGAGACTTTATGTCTAATGGTAGTACATGGTGGGATAAATACCTGCACAAGTACAAAAAGTTCACATTCCGCCGACCATCACCTCTACCTGCTGCTGATCTATAAGATCAGTTCCAAACCTTTTGGCCTGGATACCATGCCTGTCACCCTCTCCACACTTCCCAGTGTCTTTTCTTGCTATTCTCAGGCTCTCCTGTCAGGCACCATGCTCAGACACCACTACTTTCCCTCCTCTTTACCTCTGCTCCTGCTGGTTTTGTTACCTGCTGTGTCCTTCCCTCCTTTGTCATGCCAGTGCCCCCTTCCGGCCAGGTTGGCAGAGCAAGGCAGCTTCCTCTGGGATCCACAGCCAGGGAGTACTCCTCTCCTTCTGTTAAACTGCATCCCAGCTAACCTTGTGGCTGTCTTCCCTGCTGGGCGGTGAACTTCTGGTGGCAAGTTCTGTGTCTGATTTATTTCTGTATCTCCAGAGCCGATAGTAAATGCTGATATCATCAAATAACCCTTGTTATTAACATATATGAATAGGAATAGATATCATGTCTTCTTCAGCATTTGCTATGCAATCAATTGGAAAAAAATCTGTCTCTGCAGACCACATTCTTCCAATTCTTCTGTTGACTTTTTTATTTATATTTTGGGTGGCACTGGGATTTGAACTCAGGGCTTCGTACTTGCGAGGCATGTGCTCTGCCGCTTAAGCCACTCTACCAGCCTCTTCTGTTGGCTTTTCTTTTGGTGGTACTGGAGTTAGAACTCAGGCTTTGCACTTGCTAGGCAAGCATGCTACCACTTGAGCCATGTCCCCACCCTTTTTTTATCTTTTTTGAGAAAGTATCTGTCTCAACTCATTAGGTCACCCAGGCTGGCCTCAGATTCACCATCCTCTTACCTCAGCCTCCACATGTGGGGATTACGGCCAGTATCACCCTCACTGATGGTTTGTGAGCAGTGTGCCCATGTAGAAGTCACTGCTGTTACAGGAATTTCAGCCCACACCAGTGGTTGACGTTTATAGTTTCTGTCATGAAACATACAAGCATGACTTTGAACAGTATCCAATACAGCTTGGTGGTCCAGGTCACTACCAAACTGAGTCCTGTTTCAGCCACACAATTAAGTATCATTGCACTTGCTCCAGAATAGGAAAGAGGCAGGTTTGGTACCATAGATAGTTCCCGTCAATCAGCTGTCGGTTATTTGCAAGTTGTTGGTGACCACTCTCCCAGTATTGGGGTTTGAACTCAGGATGTCACACTTTCTAGGCAGGTGGTCTATCACTTGAAGCACTCCACCAACCAGCCCTTTTTTTTGTAATGGGTTTTTTCAAGATAGGGTCTTTTTGAACTATTTCCTCTGGCTGGCTTTGAACCGTGATTCTCCTAATCTCTTTCTCCTGAGTAGCTAGGATTACAGCCACCAGCACCAGGCTGGTTCCTGTCTTGAAGGGTGTAGTTCAGCCGGTTCTACTATGCACTCATTTCATGGGCTGTATCTCTTGCCGTGCAGCCTGTCCTGGCTCTTCATGTGGCTTCATCAACAGTCATGATCTCGGCTGTGTCAGTTCACCTTTTGGTGATATTTTTAACTCATACTTGTCTGAGTTTATGCAGCACAAATAATTTGGAAATAATGCTTTCAGCTTCCCTTTACTGCCTGTATCAGAAAAATTTCCTGTTAATTAAAGTGGTTTCATCCTGTAAAAGCCCAAGGGTCACTAGTGTCTCTGAGCTGCTGGGGGCTTGCCCAGGGCCATCTGCCAGCCCGCCATGCTATCTGCTGTGCTGCTGCAGCAGATAGCAGAGGCAGCGCCCCGAGCACCTGGCTTCCTTCCCCGCAGACTCCATCAGCAGCTATGAGGCTCAGATCACAGCCCTGAAGCAGGAGCGGCAACAGCAGCAGCAGGACTTCGAGGAGAAGGAGCGAGAGCTGGGCCACCTTAAGCAGCTGCTGGCCCGGGCCCATCCCCTGGACTCCTTGGAGAAGCAAATGGAAAAGGTGGGGGTCTGATGACCTGCCTTGCTCCTAGGATTTGGATAGACTAAGGAGTCACTGGCTAGTGACTCCAGGTAGAGCGTAGTGCTGCCTCATTGTTGTGTGCTTGGCAAGGTCCTGACCCACCCCTTGCTAGTAGGTGACCAAGTTCATTTACCTCCAGGACAAGGGGTAAGGGAGCTAACTTTTTTTTTTTTGGTGGTACTGGCATTTGAACCCAGGGCCTCATGCTCACTAGCCAGGTGCTGTGCCACTTGAGGCACTCCATCAGCCCTCTTTGGTGTTGGTTTTTTTCGAGGTAGGATATCGAAAACTGTTTGCTTGGGTTGGCTTTGAACCATGATCCTCCTGATCTCTGCGTCCTGAGTAGCTAGGATTACAGGTGTGAGCCACCAGTGCCTGGCTAGGGAACTAACTCTTAGGAGACCCCTTGTGGCCAGCCACTGTGTTAAGTGCTCTATAGGCCTGCATACTCTGTCTCTGCCCTGTGTGCAAGTGTGGTCAAGTCCATTGGACAGAAGGGTAAGGTGAGGCTTAGAAAAGCTCAGCGATTCTTGCAGCTCTGCAAAGAAAAAGGAGCAGAGTTGGAATTGAAAAATCTAGGCAGTTGGACTAGAAGTTTGACTCGAGTGGTAGAGCACCTGCTTTGCAAGTGTGAAGCCCCCGACTTCAAGCCCAGTCCCACCAAAAAAAAAAAAAAGTATATATAGCTAGGATGATTCTGAAGTTTCTGTTCTTTTTTTTTTCTTTTTTGCAGTGCTGGGGCTGGAACTGAGGGTCTTCACCTTGTGCCACTCCACCAGCCCTCTTTTGTGTGTGTGTGTGATGGGTTTTTTACGAGATAGGGTCTCGAAAACTATTTGCTTGGGTTGGCTTCAAATCACGATCCTCCTGATCTCTGCCTCCTGAGTGGCTGGGATTACAGTGTGAGCCACCAGCACCCAGCTAAAGTTTCTGTTCTTAACCTCTGTGGCATAGTATCTCTTTTGTTATTGTTATTATTGATAATGTGGAGCTGGATGTGATGACAGATGCCTGCTGTCCTAACTTGGGAGGCTGAGGCTGGAGGAACTTTTGAGCCTGTGAATTCAAGGCCAGCCTGGGCAATATAGCCAAATCTCATCTCTTAAAAAAAAATTATATAAAAACAATAATAGGAAGTATACATTCCCAAATGCATCATCTTTCAAAACAAATTTATGTTGTTACCACATTTGGTTTTCGTAGTAGTCCCTTATCCTATTGTGAGGATCCCAGGCTGAGCAAGACAGAGGTAACTGCCTAGTTTGAAAGACACAGATCAAAGCAGGAGCCCCAAAAGGAAGGCCTCCATTCAGCAGCTTCTGTGGCTGCTACTTGCATCCAGGGTTCCTGCAGGAACCCTTGCGTTGGTTGGCAAAGGGGGGACTTTGCTCAGAACATTCCCCAGGACAGCAGAAGGGTATCAGGTCTGCAATCAGGCCTATCCATCCATTGAGTGAGCATCAACATGGCACAGGCTCCAGGACTTCAGGCAGGATCCCAGGTGTTTTGTTTGAACTCAGGGCTTTATGCTTGCAAAGCAGGCGCTCTACCACTTGAGCCACACCTCCAGTCTATTTTTGTAGTAGTTATTTTGGAGATGGTGGTCTTGCAAACTGTTTGCCCTGACTGGCCTCCAACCTTGATCTTCCCAAGTAGCCAGAATGACAGGCACCCAGCTAGAAGTTTCTTTTCTTAAAGTCCAGACTACTACAGCAGCTCAACAAGTCATTAGAAACCCAGGCACCTCCTGTGTTGCTGTTTTGCCTTAGGGAGCAGATTTCCTCATGGTCCAAGATAACTGCCTAAGTGCCAGCCATTATATCCACATTCCAGCCAGCAAGAGAGGAGTGAAGAAAGACACATCCTCTTCCTTTTAGGAGTTGTCACATGGCACATCTCACATCTCATTAGCTGGTACAGAGTCACATGATCACATTTTGTTGCAGGAAAGCTGAGAAATGAAGATGGTGGTATTAGAGAATTTAGGCTATGTGCCCAACAAAAATATGAGGTTCTGTGACTTAAAAAAAAAGTGCATGCTGGGGAAGAAATTATGGTATATCGCAGGGCAACAGGAAGACAGTCTTGAGCTTGGCCCTTTTCCTGGGCGTCCATATGAAGAGGGCTATATAGCACCTCCAGGGAGGATTAGAAGAGCTGGTGGGGTCCTGAACAGACCTGAGGGGCCCAGTTGGGAGGGTACTGTCACTGCCTGACTGCGTACCTCCATCTGTCCAGGCCCACGAGGACTCGGAGAAGCTGCGGGAGATTGTGCTGCCCATGGAGCAGGAGATTCAGGAGCTGAAGGCCAAGCTGCTGAGGGCGGAGGAGCTGATCCAAGAGATCCAGGTGAGGGGCGGCTGGGGTGCCGAGGGGAGGAGGGCACCTGGGACACCAGCCCCCAGCCTGTTCCCTGGCTTTTCCCTAGAGACGTCCCAGGCCGCCCCCTGCCCTGCATGGCTCCACAGAGTTACTGCCGCTGTCAAGGAACCCGTCTCCTCCGCTGGAGCCCCTGGAGGAGCTGAGTGGAGACGGGGGTGCAGCAGCTGAGGCCTTTGCCCGCAACTGTGATGACAGCGCGTCCATCTCCTCCTTCTCCCTTGGCGGGGCTGGCAGCAGTGGCTCCCTGCCCCGCAGCCGCCAGGGCCTGAGCCCTGAGCAGGAAGAGACGGCCTCTCTGGTGTCTACTGGCACCCTGGTTCCTGAGGGCATCTACCTGCCCCCTCCTGGTTACCAGCTGGTGCCAGACACCCAGTGGGAGCAGCTGCAGGTGGAGGTGCGTGGACTGTGCAAGCGGCCTGTGGGCATCCAGGCTTCTCTGGACAGGTCCAGGCCCTGAACTAGAGCTAGAGCTGGGGATGCCGCAGGGCAGCCCCTTCCAGGCCTGGGAGTCGGGCATGAACACACACTCAGGAGGTAATGTTATGGGGCAAGATGCCCAGAACAGAACTGAAGAGGAGCCAGGGATGCGGCTCAGTGGTAAGAGCGCTGCATTGTCTAGCTTGTGTGAGGCCCTGAGTTCCATCCCCAGCACTGGAAAAAAGAAAACTGAAGAGTGTTATGGAATAGAGACTGGCAGTCTGGGAGACCCATCGAGGCTAAGGCTGGAGCTAAGAGCCAAATGGTGGGGAAAGGTGTTCTTAAAGATTGTGAAAGAAGGAACTGCAGGTGCAGAGGCCCAGTGTGTCTGAGAAGCAGAGAGGTGAGGAAGGCAGGTGGACATTCCTGGGCCTTTGTGGGTTTGCACTTTAGACCAGAAGGGAGAGTGTGTCTGCTGGCTCTGGGATTGGGAAGGTCCCTTGGATCTGGAGGGATGGACTAGGATGGGCAAGGGGAAAAGCTGAGACTGTAGTTGGAGAGAAGGTAGTGACTGGAGCAGAAGAGGGCAACAGAGAGAACTTGGCATTTCTTTGGAGGAGGCCTTGGCAGGGCCTGCTGAACCTGGACATGGCAATGAAGGGAAGGAGTGGTGTCACACTGCTCGTGGCAGACAGCATATGCATGCTGGCATCATCACGCTGCAGAGGAGGGAGATGGAGACCAAGGTCTGTGTCTGTGGCAGGGGCGGCAGCTACAGAAGGACCTGGAAAATGTCAGCCGTGAGCGGGACGAGTTGCAAGAAGGCCTGAGAAGGAGTAATGAGGACTGCGCCAAGCAGGTGGATCCCAGCTCCATTCCAGTCCCAGCCAGAACTCTGGCCGCCCACTGCCCCAGCAGGATCCCCTGACCTCACCCTCCTTCTGCCCCCAGATGCAGGTGCTCCTGGCTCAGGTCCAGAACTCAGAGCAGCTGCTACGGACACTGCAGGGGACTGTGAGCCAGGCCCAGGAGCGCGTGCAGCTGCAGATGGTAGGAGTCTAGTGCAGCAGAGGGGCCTGGCAAGACTGGGTGGGGGTGTGCAGAAAGTTGAGGCACCTGTTGTCCTGCCCCCCCCACCCCCCTCCCCAGCTTCTGGACTCTCTCTCGCATTGGTGCCAGGTAGGTAAAGGGTTTGGGGGCAGCCTGGCCCTGGCTAGAGCTGTGACCTTGAATCAATCCCATAACACAGGGCCTCCACCTTATCATCTGTAAAACTGAGATAATAGTACCTGGTTCAAGAATTGCGAGGATTGAAAGCAAGTCATACACTTTCCAAGGCCAGAGAGGAGGAGTCAGTGAGTGGATGGGGCCATGGGGGAGCAGTGGACAGCCTGGCAAATGAGGGACCCTTGCAAAGGGAGCTGCTGTACCTTAGCGACACTGATTGTTCCTGCCTGGAAATGTGGGCTTCAGGCGGCCACAAGTTCTGATGTTTCAAGAGAAGATACAAATCTGAATATGTGTGTATTGTCTTCCAATTTTTAAAGTTCACTACTTTAGGGTTTAAAAAATCAAATCGCCAAGTATGGCAGTGCATGACCGTAATCCCAGCACTCAGGAGGCCAAGGCAAGAGTATTGAGAATTCCAGGCCAGCCTGGGCTACTTTTTCCTTTCTCAGTAGATTAGGGGCCTGGGCTTTCTGGCTGTCAGTGTGGAGGAGGGCTCAGGGTTTGGCCTCAGGACTGGAGACACCCTGCTCCTCATGCCTTGTGCCTATGGTCCATCCCCAGGCAGAGCTGGCCTCTTCCCACAAGTGCCTGCGCCGTGAGGTTAAGCGGCTAAATGAGGAAAACCAAGATCTCCGGGCTGAGCAGCTGCCATCAGCAACCCCCCAGGGCTCAGAGCAATACCAGGGCAAGGAAGAGACTCTGCCTGGCTCTGTTCAGGTAAGCTGAGCGAAGACACCAAGGGGCCGGGCCGCCCTGTCAGCCTTTCCTCTCCAGGCAGAGCAGAGGCCTGGGATTACAGACCTGGGGGACCTGTGTTGCCTTGGCCAACTCACTCAATTTCTCCAAGACCTAGATTCCTCATTTGAAAAGTGGGACCAGACCTTCTTCCTGGCACTGGCATAGAGCACGTTAGCAGAGTGCTTGACTATCAGATTGTGTGTGTGGTGCTGGGGGTGGAACCCGGACCTTGCACTTTCCAGGCAAGTGCTCTACCACTGAGCTATATTCCCAGTCCTTGGTTTTCCTTTTTTTGGTTTTGTTTTATTTTGAGACAGGGTGTCTGAACATAGTCCAGGCTGGCTTTGAAATTGCCATTCTCCTACCTCTGCCTCCTGAGTGCTGGGATTACAGGTATGCACCAACCTGCCCAGTTTGCAAGGTTTTTGGTGTTTTTTTTTTTTTTTTTTTGCAGTACTGGGGCTTGAACTCAGGGCCTTGGGCTTGAACTCAGGGCCTTAACCTTGAGCCACTCCACCAGCCCTTTTTGTGATGGGTTTTTCAAGATAGGTTCTCTCGAACTATTTGCCCGCTCTGGCTTCAAACCACAATCCTCTTTATCTCTGCCTCTTGAGTAGCTAGGATTACAGGTGTGAGTCACCAGCACCTGGCTATTTGCAAGTTTTAAGTGACATGAGATCCTGAAGGTCATCATCTTTGGTTCCTTACATGATGTCATTGATTGATAAGTAGCCTTTGTTGATTTATTAATAATATAATTTACTGATAAATTCATTTATTAAAAATATAAAGATCACCTGGGGCTCCTCTCTATGCTGAGGATTGCAGTTTGCATCTACTTCTGAGTGACCCTGAATTCCTTGGCTCTATGTCGCCCTCTTTCTTTTTTGTGTAGTTTTTTCATTATGTACATAATGGAGAACCTAACTAGAGTTGTTTTTGAGCTTTATGGAGGGGTCTTCTTGTAGGTGATCTTCTGGAACGTTCTGCACCCTCCCTGAGAGTCCCCTATATGGTGTGGCAGACGTGCCCTTGCTTGGGCTCCTTCACTCCCATCGCTGAAGCACAGTGTCTGTCTTCCTGACTGTGGCATTTGGGCCCTTACTGTTGTAGCATTTTCCTTCCTTCTTTCCACCATTCCTATCTGACTGGTGACCCACACCAGCCCCTGCCCTTCTGCTCTTCTGACCCTTGCCCAACAGGCCACTTGTGTCCCTCCCAGGAGCTGCAGCAACTGGTCCGGCGCACACGGCAGGAGGCGCGGGCCCGGCAGCAGACTCAGGAGCACGAGGCTGAGCGTCTGCGCATCGAGGTTGTGACACTGCGGGACGCGCTGGAGGAGGAGACGGCGTCCAGGGCCAGCCTGGAGGGGCAGTTAAGGATGCAGCGGGAGGAGACAGGTGAGGGAGGAGGGTGCCTCACCTCCCCTTCGGGTCCACCGGGGCCTGGTGTAGGCAGTAGGAGGGGAGCTCATGCAGAACCTTGACTGCTTTCTTTTCCCCACCCCCAGAAGTGTTCCAGGGTGAGTAGAGGCTGGTGCCCTGCTGGGACTGGGTCACGGTGGGGAAAGCTGGTGTGGGCTTGACTCCGGCTCCTTCGCCTGACTTCCCAGCCTCCCTGTGCAGCCTGAGGACAGAGGTGGAGCGGCTCCAGGAGGAGCATGGCAAGGTGAGGCCGAGCCCAGCACCTGGCCCAGGGTGATGAGGGATGGGGCAGCCGTGTGGAGACGACCCTCAAAGGCCCTGTCGGTCTCTCTCAGGCCAGATAGCAGGAAGCCCTGCAGCCCTTGCCTGGCTACAGCTGGAGAGAAGGGGTCAGAGTCGCGTGGGTGGTACAGAGGGCACTGGTGTGGGGTCTCCCACTGCTTTGACCACACACCCTGCCATCTGACCCAAGGTGACCAGGTCCCAGCTCAGTGCCCTGTCCCCACAGGCCCAGCTCACAGACCTCCTCTCTGAGCAGAGGGCCAAGGCACTGCGGCTGCAGGCTGAGCTGGAGACCAGCGAACATGTGCAGAGGGACTTTGTGCGACTGTCCCAGGCCCTGCAGGTACAGCCTGGTCTCTCTACCAGGGTGGTGCAGCCCCCATGACTTGACCTGGTCTTTGGAGAACAGTCCCCCAACTTGGGGGAGACCTCTTCCTCCTTCTGGGGCTTTTGTAGTCCTTCCCCTGAGCCGTTGCTCCAAAACAAGTGGGAACTCGTTTGTGTGCATTTCGGTCAGTCACACATGCCCTGCACACAGGCTTGAGGAGCATTCCTGCCAACGGCCTACCAACGGCCAGCTGCACCCAGACTTCCCCAAGCTGTGCTCCTAGCCCCATTCCTTCCCTTGACCCTGATATCACCGAGGGCTATGGGCAGGGGGAGAGGGGCACGGGACTCTCCAGAGATGGCCCCTGGCTCTGCCCTTGGGAGCAAGTTGGTGGGGCAGTAGCTGCGTTCCCACCACGGCCTCACCCACCCCACAGGTGCGCCTGGAGCGGATCCGCCAGGCTGAGACTCTGGAGCAAGTGCATAGCATCATGGACGAGGCACCCCTGCGGGATGTCAGGGACATCAAGGACACCTGAAGGGCCAGACCAGAAGCCACCCCACCCTGAGCTCTCCCACCGGGAGGAAGACTGCCCTCACCCAGACCTGTGAGGCCTGGGCTGCGGGGACCCTGGGTGTTGTCCTCACTGTTTCCAAGCCTAGGGGTCCTTCCACCTGGTGCCTCCTCCCAGGGTGGCCGGGCCTGATGCTCTCAGGGATGACACCTGGGCGAGGGGCCCAGCCCCTCCTGGAACCAAAGGTGCAGGCTGAGCCCTGTGGCTTTCTGGCTGCCATGCTGTCTCCTGGGCTTTCCCACTCCATCCCACCAGCCAGCCCAGAACATGTCACAACCTGAGGCCTGGCCCATGGGCTGTCAGTGTCAGCAGGTCCTTCACGCACACCCTGGGGCAGGCAGCTGCTTTCTGGACTGCTTGACACTAAGACGCTTGTCCACAGGGCCTGGTCAGACCCCAGGACATGCACTAAGGCAAGGCCAGACTTTTCTGTCATTTATTTTCAATAAATAAGCAGCTCAGCTCAGTCAGTCGCCCCTGCAAGCCCCACAGGGCGGGGGGGGGGAGGTTACAAGGTTCAGAGGGAGGGTGCTGAGGGAAGGAGACACGGGGCACATGTAAACGGATGTGGGGGAAGGGGTCTGCCACAGCTCTGGCTGACGCTCTGGAAGAAGGGGCAGAGGACTGGTTACTTCCTTCTTTCATCTTCCGGATCTGAGGGAGAAATGGAAGGGATGGAGCAGGAGGGACAGGAGCTGTCCCTCCCACTGCATCTGTGGCACACTCACCTAGAGGGTCACCTGGCCCCTCCCTCCCATACTCACCTGTGTCCCAGTACTCCAGCCCACCCCCAGCTACTGCAGCCCCAGCAGCAGAGACAGCCAGCGCAACGCAGCGCAGCCCAGCGGACAGTGCTGCCCACTGCCTCTGTTGGGCAGGACCCAGCAGTGGCCGGTGCCCACGCTGGGGCACAAACCCCACGTGGAAGCACGGCAGTGGCAGCAGCAGTGTTGGCTCCTGGGGGAGCTGCAGGCGCAAGTGACCGCGGGTGCGCAGGGGTTTGGGGGAGCGAGCGGCAGGGCACAGCAGCTGGGGCAAGGGCAGGAGGGGGTGGCAATACCTGTGACACGGTTCAAAGACATGGAGGAGGGGGCAGTTATCCTATGGCCAGAGAGGACAGAGAGAGGCCATTATCAAGGGGAAGGCGGCCCACAGGCTGAGAGCCTGAGCAGGCTGGGCCACCCTGGAGAACGCAGCCACCAGGCCTGGCTGGAGTGGGGATGGGGCCTTGGGCTGTCCCTCCCTGGGGACACTGGTCCTGCCAGGGCCGTGAGGAACTTACCCACCTGCAAAGGAAAAGGGGGGCACGCGCATTCGCAGCGCCGAGGGCAGGGGCTGTGCTCGGGGGCCCAGGGACATAGGGTTGGGGAGCAACGCTCCTTACCCTCCAGGTAGTTCCGAGCAACGAACTTGAGGATTTCGTCCAGCCCGATGACCGGAAGGGAGATCTTGAGGACCATGAGCCAATGGGTGAAGTCCAGTGCCCGGAGCTTGAAAATCATCTGGAGGTGGGGACAGCAGTCATGAGGTTACTGGTGACCTCTTGGCATGGGGACAGGGAGCCGAGGCACTGGCTGCCCCACCAAGCCCATCCCACTTTCCTTCCCTGTCAGCTCAAGTGGTCATAGGCCCTGCATGGGCTTCTAGGGGGCGGTGGTGGGGACGGGACTCACCGGCAGGGGGTCAACGTAGAGGATAAGGAAGTGGAGGGACATGGAGAGGCAGATGGAGCCCAGCAGCCAGATGTTTACCCAGGGTGGCATCCTCAGCAGAGACTGGTTCTCAGACAGGCTGCAGCAGAGGCCGGGCAAAGCCAAAGAGAAAGACATAGTGAGGAGAGAGGAGGAAGGCAGGGAGGCCGAGGACAAAAGCAGTGGCCTTGGGAACAGACATCAGGACACAGGCAAGCAGGCCTACCTGTTGAGAGCATTACACATCTCAATGGTGACCAGCACAGACAAGGCCATGGTCATGGGCTCAGGGGCCTCAAAGACTTCACAGTCCACACCGTCAAAGTCGAGGTTGTGCTCAGCACACTGCATGAAGTGAGTCTGCAGGGGAAGGGATAGGCCCTGAGACCCTGTGGAGGCTTCCACGTCACCCTCCTGCTGCCCACCTCACTGTCCTCCCCGCTACCAGCTGGCTGTAGGAGACGTGAGGCCCGTCTTCCGCATACAAGAACCACCAGGCAGCGGCTCCCACCGTGGCTGCTCCCACGTAGCCTGTGATGGAGGAGAGTCAGGGTCAGGGCTGGGCATGTGGGAGGCAGTAGGAGCACCCTACATGTCTGGGGACAGCTGGGTGAGGAAGAGGCCCCACTGGGTGTCCCAGGAGAGGGTCCCATCCTGCTCACCTCCAATTGCCATGTAGCGGAAAAAAAGCCAGCCACTGATGAGGGGCTCCTTGGGGCTCCGGGGAGGCCGGTCCATGATGTCCAGGTCTGGTGGGTTGAAACCCAGGGCAGTGGCTGGGAGCCCATCAGTTACCAAGTTCACCCACAGCAGCTGCACAGGGATCAGGGCCTCAGGCAGCCCCAAGGCGGCTGTCAGGAAGATGCTGCAGGAAGGAGGCAGTCACACGTCAGTCCTGCCCCACCCCCAGGCTAAGGTGCCCATCCCCACCTGGCCTCAGGCTGCACGTAAGATGCCCGCCCTGGCTGCTTACCAGACCACCTCGCCCACGTTGGAGGAAATGAGGTAGCGGATGAACTGCTTCATGTTGTTGTAGATGGCTCGGCCCTCCTCCACGGCCGCCACGATGGTGGAGAAGTTGTCATCGGCCAGCACCATCTCGGAGGCTGTCTTGGCCACAGCAGTCCCAGATCCCATGGCAATACCAATCTCGGCCTTCTTCAGGGCAGGGCGTCATTGACACCATCCCCTGTCTGAGGATGGAGGAGGAGGTGTTACTTGAGGCTGTTCTCAGCCCCTTCCTGGAGCCTCAGCACCTAATACCTCCCTCTGGGCATGTCCCAGGGCCCCAGGATACCAGGAGGGTCATCTCATGGACACTCTGAAGTCTCCCTACCCCCACAGCCTGCTGGGACTTTTTACCATAGCCGTGATCTCATCGTAGGACTGCAGGTACTCCACGATCTTGGACTTGTGTGAGGGCTCCACGCGGGCAAAGCAGCAGGCACGTCTGCAGGCCTCTCGCTGCTCGGCCAGGGGCAGGTCATCAAACTCTCGGCCAGTGTAGGCACGGTCTGCAACTTCCTCATTCTCCGAAAAGATGCCAATTCTCCGGCAAATGGCAATGGCTGTGCCCTTGTTGTCGCCGGTGATCATGATCACCCGGATGCCAGCGTCCCGGCACAGCTGGATAGAGCCTGTGACCTCCTTGCGGGGTGGGTCCAGCATGCCCACCACACCAACGAATGTCAGGTCCACCTGGGAGACAGCAGACCATGACAGGTCAGGGGAGCCTTGGGACATGGGCTGGGGTGGAAGCTCAAAGGAAGACAGGGACAAAGATCCGGAAGCTGGGGCTTGCTGCCTCCGGGCCTGGGTTAGCCCGCAGCTGGGTCTTGAAAGTGCAGGGTCGGAAACATTTCTCCTTCCTTGTGTGCCTGCAGGTCTTGGCAGTGCCAGGCTTGCCACAGGTGCTGATTATGCCTGGCATAGAAAGACTCAAGATGAGCCAGGCACCAGTGGCTCAAGCTTGTAATCCTAGCTACTCAGGCGGCAGAGATCAGGAGGATCTCAGTTCAAAGCCAACCCAGGCAAATAGTTCACGAGACCCTAGCTCAAAAACATCCATCACAAAAATAGGGCTGGTGGAGTGGCTCAAAGTGTAGGCCCTGAGTTCAAACCCCAATACCTCAAAACAAAGGACTCAGCTGGAAGGGAGAGTGGCGGTATTCACCTTTGGCAGCACCTCACTGGCTCCCCACTTGGAGCACATCCCTGTTACCTGTTGACCATGGTCTTCCTCTAGAGAATAAAGGCAATGGGATTTGGATGCTGTGCAGAGTCCACAGCAAGTAAAGAGCCTGCACCAGCATGGACATGGAGTACATGAGACCGACTCTCCCACCTTGTCCAGTGACATTCATTGCCCTTCTGAGGCCTGAGCCTCACCTCACTGCAGACAGGTCCACAGAGCCATGGGGGCTGCAGGTGCAGCCCAGGTAGAGCACGTGCTTACCATGCTCCAGACCGAGTTTAATCCCCAGCACTGCAAACAAATAAATGAAGTAGCACTGGACTAACGATGGCTAAAGCTCTCTCTTAACATCCTGTGATTTCTGGATCCACACCTAAGAGCCTATCTGATGAGGTAGAGAGTGACAAGCGTGGTGGAGGGCGGAAGTGGGCAATGGGGACTCAGCCTCTCCCCAGACTCAAGGACAACAGGAAGCTCCATTTGCTTACCTCATACTCCACGAACTTGGCAGAGTCTTCCAGGATCATCTCCTCCCGCTTAGGGGGCGTGTCCCGGGTGGCCAGGGCCAGGCAGCGCAGGGTGTCACGCCCAGTGCCCCACTCCTTGATCACCGCCATGATCCTCTCCTTCACCGGGCCTGTCAGTGGCACCCGGGTGGTGCCAACACGCACATAGTTACAGCGGTCGATGACCCCCTCAGGGGCGCCCTAGGAGACCAGAGCAGGAGTCAGAGTCCACTCTGCCTTCCAGAGTGCAGTGAGGAGGTCAGACATAGGAGAGGGCTCCAGGCTTAGGATGAAGAGGGGGCAGAGGCACATTCTGCATTCTGACCTTGACAAACATCTTGTTACCCACGGCAGCCCGGGAGGACTTGGCTGGGGAGCAATAGACAGACATGGACTTTCTGTCTCGTGAGAACTCCAGAGTGAATTCCTTCTTCATCAGCTGACGGATCACCTGTGAGAGAGGAGACAGGAAGGAATAAGTGAGACCCCTTAGATTGTCCAAAAGGATCTGGAGGTCACAGTAGACCTCTAAAGCTGAGCCTGATACTGACAATACAAATGAAAAGAACCCAAGGCTTGTGTGCCACAGAGCTCAGTGTCCCTTTTTAAAATTGTTTTGTTTGTGGTACTGGGGGATTGAACTCAGAGCCTCACAGTTATAGAGAAGCACTCAATTGGGGTGGGATTGTAGCTGAAGTGGTGGAGTGCCTGCCTGGCAAGTGCAAGGCCCTGAGTTCAAACCCCAGTATCACCAAGAAAAAGAGAGAGGGAAAGAAAGAGAGTGAGAGAGAGAGAGAGAGGGAGAGAGAGAAAGAGAGAGACTCAACCACTGAGCCATGCCCACAGCCCTAGTGCTCAGTTTAAAACACAACAGAGTTGTGTTTTAGGGAGAAGGCCTAAGAAGCAAATA